CGTTTCTTCCTCTGGGGTACTGACTGCTGTTGGGCAGGCTGAGCGACTGAAGATGCGAACAGAGGCCAGGGCAATGTCAGTGTCGGGAAAGTGTACATTTTTCGGAGCATGAGCAGTGGGGGTGGATGGTGCGGATCGGGAACGCAAGTGGAGATGGTTACTATTGCGTTGGGGTTCAATTGGAGTAGCGGGAATGGAGAGTGTGGAGGTTGATGATTTAAGTGATGACTTGAGTGGCTTGCCATTTGGAAGAATAATTGATGATGTACGAGACGTTTGTGGTCGAGAAGATATGATTGAGGGTGAAGAAGGTGGAGAAGGGGAACAGCGTGGAAAGGGAACAGACGGAGGTGATTGGGAAGCGCCTTGTGAAATTTTCACTGAGGGTTTGGCGTTAGCAGACTGAGTGGTAGTCTGTTCGTCGAGAGAATCAGACGAGTAGTCATCAGGGTTGTCAGCACCATGAATATGGAATGCGGGCAGCTTTCGAGCCTGGGTAGAAGTGGGAGGCTGATGTTTTCGCCTTGGAAGGGAACCTAGAGATACAAAAGCTCCTGGACCGCGTTCGTTTGAGAAAGTTGGGGTTGTTGAGCGAGAGCGGGAGACATCAGTTGCTGCAAAAGTCATCTGAAGTGACGTCAGAGATATAGGAAAAATAGGGAACGGTTGTTAAATACCTCTGAGAGCGCTGAGTGAAATGCGCAAAGCCTCGAGCTGGAGGGAGGGTAGAAGGAGATGGATGCACTGAAACCAGAGAAACTGTTCATTTTTCACGACCTTTGGAGTGATCTGAACTCAATCCATCAAAGATTTGATCGGGGTTCGGCATCTATAAATGGTATAAACGGCTGAACTCACTCCAGCGATCGAGATCTCACGCGTTCCTTATCTAGTCCTTTATCAAGCCAGCAACTACTCTAGACTCCGTTCTAGCCCTCCATTATCTTTTTTTTCTTCCTGGTACCGCGCACAAATTGCGCAATAATTTGTTTAATCCTAAGATGTACACTGCCCGTACATGCAAATACTGTTCAACCACTATAACCCCCGAAAGTTATCTCACGGACACGCAAGAATTCTGCTTGAACCTGTTCCGGTGATAGGTCTGCGTCGAGGCTCGCTAGTAACTTGCCTTGAGCGCCACTCGTGCACGATCACGCCTGACTCACTTTTATTGTTCAGGTGTCATTTTATTTCCCATGACATCATCATGGATGAGTCCCTGCCGGTGCTTACACTTGCCAACAAGATGTCGGACTCCAGCTGCCATAGTCGAGTGAACTCCACTCTCCACTCTACTCCTTTATCGTCACTATCAGATTCCTACATCACCCGAGAATCTATCTCTGGCTTTTTCTCCAACGCCCCGCTTCTGACTCGGATGAAGTTCGATTTCTCATCTCCTTTTCCCTCAGTCGTTTGCACCTGATACTCATGCCAAGCGCCGCCAAGGTCATTAAATTTCGCACTCACTCGGTTACGACTCTTGCTTCATGGCTAAGCCCACATATACGCTATCATTGTCATATACCCGAGTCTTGCTACAGCTGGCATACGTAGCTCTATCTGAAGAAACTCATCTGGTACTGGCGATAAGCCCTGCAGAACACGACCGTGCTACGTAAAGCGCTGTGTCAATCAAACGTGGGAAGTGTCTTTGTGTCGCTCGTGAGTTGTATCGCCTTTTACAGCCGATCATCTCGACCGTCGAACACTGACCTTTCAAATACTTATCTTTTGTCCTGTGGGGAAGACGATATCGGTCGTTAAACAGTTCCCCTTCTCCACACCTATGTCGATAGACTAACTTTCCATATCAAGCCAGCTACTAACTCGCCCCGCCTCGATTTCGATCGGAGCACTTGCTGATCAGGTTCACTCCAACATTTGTCAATCAGATCTCATCAGACGCCTGTGAATGCAATGGCACGTTCCTCACCTTCGTTCCTAGCCGCTGGTGCACGTTGGCAATCTCACTCCTCACAAATCCTTCTTTAGATCATTCCTTTTCATACATCATTCGAAGTAAGTCTTGAAAGTCTGTGAATTGACGCCGTGATCACTTCAGAACCATGGTCTCGCCCAATTTTAAATGCCAGCTCTTCATTGACCTTCCTCATCGAGTATTCCAATTCAATTATGCGTATGGGCGCTTAGATACCGCAGCAACAGCTCCACTATCATTATCTTTGTAGAGGTGGATGGCTATTGTAATTGTGATAACGCTAGGTTGTTATCGATTCCAAATTCCAGAGATCGCCACCCATGCTTACTGAGGCTTAGATCGGCCGCTCGTGCCACTTCCTTGGAGCCACGAGGCTCATACCCTCATATCATACATAACATTAAAAATCTCATAAAAGTTAGGACAGGAAGATCGTCTGTGACTCATCGTGGTGCTGGTATCCCTCCCCGACATCGTTTGATTGCCTGGCAAGCGCAAGGCAGCCACGTCCTAGCCAGATGTGTTAACACTACTTACTCATCATCATGGTCGACGATCTGACAGGCTGTTCTACGAATCTCGTGTCAACTTGAAACATCGCTTGAACAATTGAAGTGCCCAGCGTGGAGCCCGGACGTGTCATCGAGAACAGGTCTGGCATAGCAATCGTACAAGGCAGTTCCATCCCAACTCCCAAAACAATTCAACGGACGATAAGCCCGAATAAGCACGTTCGACAAAGTCCCGACTCGTGATGCCAACACAATGGCGAAAAGCCCATCGGGTGGTTACCGCCGACGCTCACCATTCTCGCGTCATGTTGCCCAGGCTTAATTCGAGAACGGGCGATTAGATTCATGCCGGCATGTAGCGATGTCGTATAAAGATGCCGTCGTGGCTGTGTTTCCATTTTGTCCACTATTGCGTCCATCTTCCAAGAAGCGGATCTTGAAGGCGGAGCCATGAGATGAGTTCTTGGACGGCAGCCGCCATCTTGATCGCTGATTAGATTCCGTGGGTGTATTGTATTGTACTCGGTACCGCGCCCTGCTATTGATAAGCTGGAGTAGGATCAAAGTGTCGTTAGTCGTGAGCTAACGCGATCAAAGGACATGGATACATCAGAGTGGTTGATTAATGATTGGCGAAGTGAAAGTTCGTGCGGGATGTACGATATGCATATCATACAAATTGACGATGATTGCTGGCACGAAGCGAGACCGTCGGGCACGGAAATTCAAGAATGGCCGCAGCTGGCGCGGTTAATGCTCTGGAATGTAAAATGACCCCAGCAACCACACGCTGATAGGCTCTACTTTGTTGCAGATTACAGGATCTCACCTAAAGGGTCAAAGAAAGGAGAATGAAGGGGATAGATCGGGCGCACTAGCCTGGTATCGGAGAGTAGCAACATGGTAATGGGTACCTAACTAGGAAGAAATGTCCTCCGAGATAGAATGCCGAAGGGGTTGAATCATACTCTTGTCAGCATATCTCCTACTAACACTTACTGGAATGATACGTTCCGAATCTGATTTTTTTTACCTTTGATTTGAGTGCTTGCAGATTTACTCACGGTGTAAGGCACTTTGTGGGCGAATTTGGGAGTACCGCTGCGCCCAAGTACGTCTGTCATCCACACATGCCGGAGACTGACTTGATATTAGTTACCACACCGAGGTTCAGCGCTCACCGTCGAGAATTTGCTGACGCCAGGTACTAGAGGTAATAGTACTCGGTGAGTCCACAGTCTAGACATACGTCTGTGGCGGTGACGCGGCTACCGTGGGAATGGTGATGCCTGTTGAGAAGCCGGATGGACCTGGAAATACACGCCAGCATAGCTTGCGTGGGATTAGATGACTATGATACGGAAGACGTTTAGCGAAAAGAAAATTTGTATAAGAAACAAACCATAAAGCATGGGAACTCTTATCGCGCAGGATTTTCGGTCAGGCCCTCGATAACGAATGTATACGTACCGCGGCTGCAGCGCACGACGACGAAGAGTTCTCAACCAAGTAGAAGACAGCACATATTGTGATGGTACTCACTGGCAGGGTAGTAGCGATCATATGTATAGCGATTGATTGTCAAGTGAAAAGACTGCTTGTCATGCGGAGAAACGTTTGGGTCATGCAGGAAAAGAGCATAGTAGAGCCGATGACGTCAGAAGAGCTGTTCCTCCCAAGTCGCTGTGAGCAAATCAGCGGTAGATTGTGTCAGCGTATACGCTGGCGTTAGTGGCCTAAAGGGGAAGTCAACTCAATCAGGGAACGGACCCCCCTGGCCCTGGTCTAGAGTCACCCTGTAAATTTAAGGGACTCCAGAATTAAATATTAAGGACTCGAATGAAGTACGGCGGCATCGCACGGCTCAACTTCCTAATATGGTCTTTTTTTAACTCCTGTTCTATCTCCGCATTATTTCAGCTTGCCGCGGATATAATCACATCGTCGATTACCACCACATAGCTGTGGTGCAGCTTCTGCGTTTCCATCGCATTCACGTACTTAACAGAGAGGGATGGCCAGGCTGCTTAGAAACTGGCGTCTGATCATCATTCTCTGCTATGCCGTTGCAGATGGCCGAGCTGTCCGAGTCGATCAAGATTTACCGATATCACCGAATCACTCTAAACGTAGTAGTACTTGAGCGCCGAGCATCATGACGGTCGATGTCTCCGACGCCGAACTAGTGCTGTACAGCTCTGATGATGTCTTCGACGTCAAACTAGTGCCGTACAGCTCTGATCCTGGCTTGGACCACTCACTTCAAAGCCGGTGTTTGTCACATCGGTGATGTTCCGAGTCTGCTTGATCGAGACTCTCCGAGTCGGAAGTGAAGCTAGCATTTTTCATCCCGTCATCTCCTCACTGACGTTGACGGCTCTGTCCAGGCTTCCACCGCCACACTCGTTACCCGATGAGCCGGACAAGTTCATACAGATAATTCATTTCTCGAATTAGAAGGATTCACGCCATCGTCTACTCTTGTTACCGAATATCGTACGTCCTCGCTGCTTTGAGCTCGAGAGTCAAGCACTGAGCAGATGATTGAATACCGATCAAATTTTGTAACACACGGCGCAGAGATATGGTTGCAAAGTAAGAATGCTAAAACTGTCGTCGTCCAAGTCAGTCGCTGCTGATGAACATCATGTCCCAAAGCAAGATTGTAATGAGATCAAAGGCAAAGCACATCCGAACTAACTCTAGATCTTGAAGGACCCCATTGGTCTATAATACTCAAGGAGTGCAAATGATACGCATATATAATCTATTCGGCCTCCAGGCTTGATCCCTCGCTTCCATCTTCGTCATCTGGAAGTAGAACGTGAAGGTGGTCATCAGGGCAGAATCGACGAATATCTTACTGTCTACGAAATCACTTCTGTCATACATTTGTTTCCTCAGTTGTTCTGGCTGTATTTCAACCTCGTCAACCTCGTCATCACATGGGGGATTTGCGATGATCTCGTGTAAAGCGTTTTCTAAAGGATATCGACTTTGCGCATATTCCAGTGGTGTGAGGCCGCCTGACATTGCCCTAAGGAGGGCGCTCAGCACTTCGTTTAACTAAGACGCGAGGGACGCACTGTTTGCACTCTGCGCCACAACATATTAGTTCTTGAACAATTTCAAAACGATCCTGATCTTCTTCCATCTCCTTTAAAGCGATATGGAGTGGTGTATCGCCATTCTTGTTGCGGAGGTCAAGGTCGACAGCCCCGCCACAGAGAGCCACTACATCAGCCGGATGTCCTTGACGTACACTGAAGATCACGAGATGGATGAGGAATCACATCACGGTATTAAAGCTTGCGATACGAACGCGAGGTGAAGAGCTTTCCGATGCCTCGCAAATGTGAGTATAAGTAAAGTAGCCTTTGAATAGACTTACCGGTATTTCCCAATCTAACGTGTCGAGCGCCACATGCCATCAGCACAACATCACTCTGTATGTGAGCGGCTTACGCGTCTGTGCAGTTCAAGTCTCCAAGGAACTCCTCAGTGTCCTCGTCAAAATAATCAGGGTTTTCCATCATCTCTTCCAGAGCTCCCTCAGTTAAAGCATTGACGAGGAGCAATCTGTCTGTGATGAAGATCTGAGGAGAAGTGCATTGGGAGTGGCCTCCAACGCACTGATAGTTTTCCGTCTGTCTTCTTCTTCCGCCATACTGTAGTTATATTCAAGCGCTGTCAGAAGATGATGGATCGATGTCTCGACTCTCCAGGAGCACTGCCACTATGTCAGCAATTAGTACCGTGTTGGTTCAGTGGCTGTGCGATTGAATGTTGTTCGATCGTGTGCTAAAAATAATACACCTCTGCTTCGAACTCGATGCCATGCCAATTTTCGTATGACTTCCCTCTTCCATTTTCACAACTGACGTCGAAACACAGGCCGATTTTCCACTCCACTCACAAGCGAAATCGCTTCGACGCATACGAGGTCTTCCTTCCATCATTATCGTGCCCTATCCCGAACAATGGCCGCCCACTCATGTGGATTCGGACATCATCGATGCATCATCATCGACTCAACATCCGTCCAGCCCGATACTATCATGGTAACGTTTGTGTTCTCATTGCTACCACTCGTATAGGTGTTTTAACCGGCTTGTCTTTGCCTTACTTCCTCCTCCGGTCCACTTACTTATTCTTCCACCCTTCCTCCTCGTATATCCGACTCCCTCATGTTCGAGAGGGAACCTTCGTCGAGCGGGGTTCGGGTAGTTGTATGGCATCATGGTCCATGCTGTTGGACACGGTTTCGAGGGGTGAAGAAGTCCATTACGGCGATCCATCTGTTCAGACAAGGAGGCGATGGAGTCGAGTGGTGGTTCAAGTTCACGTCCAGTTCTTGTACACCTTCAACTTATCCTTGGGGAAGCCATTCCAGATAGCACAGTACCGACGGGATGAGTGTATGTAAACATAGTGAATAAAATCTTTGTGTACTGCTAAACGTTTTGCTAGAGCGAGCCCATTAAGTAGAACAGAACGAACCAAATCCAAGATGGTAAACAGGTGTTATATGAAATTTGTAGGATGTGCATAAATCTCCAGTCGATTGACATAAGGACATGCCAAAGCAATGTGGCAGCCTGCTACTGTTCGCGACACTTGTGCCATGATGTACCGTGTGCGGCACGACTCAAGTTCAGGTGCAGGACATCGTTGGCTATCACTAGTGTGTTGCCCAGGGCATACACCGCTGGGTGGAGATTGAGCGGAGTCCAGAGGAGAAGCCGTCCTTGTGGACCTACAACCCATCCCTCCTCGTTCGGGGCGTAAGAGGTTGAGGTTTCAGACTCGCAGGATGAGGATGGGGGTGGGGCTGGGGTTTTAGACTTGGAATTTTGGAGAAAGGAGGAGGCGGAATGAAGGGCATGAGTCAGGTCGGATGAGAAACATATTGTAGATGCTTCAAATGATTGGTGAGGTCGGATTAGAAATTCTAGATCCCACACCCGGATGGTCTTGTCATTTGACCCAGACACGATGCGTTTGCCATCAGGCGAGATTGCGACAGACAGAACGCTTCCGGCGTGCCCTCGAATAGTGGCCACTGCCCCGCCAGTCTTCATATCCCACACTCGGATGGTCCGATCTGTCGAGCCAGACACGATGCGACTACCATCTGAGGAAATCGCAATAGTGTGAACATCGCCAGTGTGGCCTTGGAGAGGGGCGCCCACTTGCTTGCCGGTCCCCATATTCCACACACGGATAGTCTTGTCTGTTGAGCCAGATACAATGCGACATACATCCTGCGAGATTGCAACAGAGGTGACCGAACCAGTGTGACCTTGGAGACGGGCCCTCAATGCCCTGCCGGCCTCCATACTATCCCACACCTGAATTGTCATGTCACTCGAACCGGACACTATGCGACTTCCATCCGATGAGATTGCGACAGACTGAACCCAGCTAGAGTGCCCATCGAGAGAATATGTCTTGCCAGTCTGCATATGCCATACGTGGACTGTGTAGTAGGAACCAGATACGATGTGATTTCTATCTGGCGAGATTGCGATACACTGAACAAAGCCAGCGTGACCTTCGAAAACACCTGATGCCTTCCCAGTTTCCACATCCCACATGAGGATGATGTCAGCTGAACCAGACACAATCCCCTTCCCGTCCGATGAGGCTACAACTGACATAATAGAGTCTGTGTGCCCTTGAAGAGGAGCAATCAATGCCTTGCCAGTCTCTATATCCCACACCCGAACTGTTGTGTCAGTTGAACCAGATACAATATAACATCCATCGGGCGAGATTGCAACAGAATTAACAGAGCCAGTGTGGCGTTCGCGGGCAGCAACCAATGATTTGCGTATGGTATCGGCATCCCACACCCGAATCGTCTTGTCAAACGAACCAGAGACTATGTGGCTTCCATCCGGCGAGACCTTAACAGACCGAACCGAGGAAGTGTGGCCTTGAAGAGGGGATCCTACTGCCTCACCAGTCTTCGCATCCCACGCCCGGATGGTCTGGTCATTTGAACCAGACACGATGCAGTTTCCATCTGACAAGATCGCGACTGAAGTCACAGAGTGGGTATGGCCTTTGAGGGGGGTACCGATTGCCTTGCCAGTCTGCATATCCCACAACCGAATTGTCTTATCTTCTGACCCAGAGACAATGCATTTGCCATCAGGCGAGATTGCGACAGACTCAACACTGCCAACATGGCCTTGGAGAGAGGCGCCCAATGCCTCACCGGTCATCATATCCCACACCCGGAGGGTCCTGTCTTCTGACCCAGACACGATACATTTCCTATCCGGGGAGATTGCAACAGATAAAACACGGCCCCTGTGGCCTTGGAGTGGGGCACCAAACGCCTTGCCAGCCTCCATGTCCCACACCCGAATTGTCTTGTCCCACGAACCAGACACGATGCGTTTACCATCCGGCGAGATTGCGACAGACACAACAAAGCTAGTGTGGCCTTGGAGGGGAGATCCTAATACCTCGCCAGTTTTCGCATCCCACACCCGGATTGTTGCATCCCACGAACCTGAAACGATGCGATGTCCATCTGGCGAGAATGCAACGGACGCAACACTTCTAGTGTGGCCTTGAAGAGGGGGATACAATGCCTCGCCAGTATTCATATCCCACACCTGGATCAATCCGCGAAATGAACCTAAACCACACGCAATGCGTTTTCCATCTGGCGACAGTGCAACTGAGAGAACAATGTCACTCGCACAGAGTATCTTCTCCATCTGAGGCCAATTTTCGACATGACCAGCGACGATGTGGGAGGTGCGAGGAAACTTCGAGGCGAACTTGCGGAACATTCTTGACTGCGTAGGAGCGAATGGCAGAGCGGACAAGTATAAATGGGGAGTGCTGCGTAAAATGGTGGCTGCGAAAGTTCGGACGAAACGCAGGGTATCTCTGGTGGCGTCACTAACGTGCGTGAACTCGGCATGACCCTACGACCACCATGCTAGTCGTGAGAATTCGTAGGGAAAAGAATGAGCTTGAGCTACTCACTGAAACCCATTTTGCGATGGATGAGAGGGTCACTATTGAGCCACCGAGGTTTTTTGTCAGAGCCAGTGCTTCCAACCACCAAAGAAGGCGCTCTCCTTCGAAGAAAGCCTCAACTTCATTGGCTAGCGATGATTCAATGGGCGTGGCTGCTACATGCATACCCCAGAATCGACACGAGTATGATAGTTGCCTCGAAATAGAGTCCTTGACTCGTGTCTCCAAATCAGGGACGGAAGAGTTGGGCAAGTAAGAATTTTCTAGGGAGCAAATGTTGAAGCGAAGTTCGTCCTTCATGACCCGAAGTGAGGCGAAGGCGAGGTCGCTCTGTACCGATGATGTATCAATGAAGAAGCTGTGGCTCCGCGATTTGTCGGTGAGAAAGTCGTAGAAGGACGCGTGGAGGGGACGTATGGGAGTATGGGAGTCCGAGGTGCCCATCAAAAGCGACCCCAGTGGCCCAACGACCCGGTCCACGTTGTAATCGCAAGTCCCTTCGGGAAAATGGAGTCGCATGCTGGTCAATGCAGGCATGGGAAGTGGTTCCAACGATACAAGAATTTGCCCCATCACAGAGCGAAATATGGGAATCCCTTCCTCGCGTTCGTCCTCTGGCATGATGTCTGCCAAAACCCGTTGATACATATCATCCAACAAACGTGTTCCTTTTGCAGATCTTCCAGAAACCACAGCATCGAACCGACCCTTTGGATCCATGCCGACTCTGTTAGTGCCCTTGATATACTCGCAGGTAAGACGAGCCCATTCAAACAGGCCGTCGGATTTCAGTGCAAGCGCCTTGAAGTGCGCATTATCGAAGACGTGATGCAGACCTTCCAACTTGTGGGAGATATAACGCTGTATGTCGAGTTCTGTGGATGCAGACGAGATATCATCTAAAGAAACGTGGCGAACATGCGGTGCGGCGTCCAGAGTGTTGTGAATGTCTTCGAGTGGACGAGAGGTGAGGAGAATGCGGAAGTTTGCTGGGAGTTTGCATGGTTGTGAGGTGGAAGTGTTCAGTTTACCAGCGAGCAGACGAAGAATTTGTTCCCGAGAGTTGGCTTCACCGCTCTCGTCTAACGCATCGATGACTATCAGCACAGGTGCAGTGATGGTATTTGAGATCATGTTTGTTGGTCCGACGATGAGTTCCTGCCATTGCTTTGTGATATCTGGAGTGCGCTTGATTCCGTCGTGATCACGAACTGCTTGCGCCAAGGCTCGTCGCATGATAGGGTTACAGTCCGCCAATTCCCTTGCGATCGTCGTGAATATTTTGTCCTGACGCCGATCCGCTTGCCGAGTGCGATCGAAGCAGAAGCATGAGCCAAGACCACCGTTTTCGATATACCAGTTGGCTATTGTATGGGCGACAGCCGATTTGCCCTTGCCTGCTGTGCCAGACAACCATAGAACACGTGGAGCGCCCTCGGTGCTGCTGATCCAATTCTGAATGTCCTTCAGAAGGTCTCGCCGAGTATTTGGCAAACAGCATTTAAATGTATTCAATCCAGCGCCCGTTGCGTACTCCATCCCTGCGAGGTCCAGAATCTCGGCTACATGGAATGTTAGATAAGGCTCAAAGAGACCTGAGAGCGTCCCTCACCCATACGGTGAACGATCACGACGGTGTCGCGAGCCGCTTGGTCTCGGAATTGCTGCATGAGACTGTCGAGAACATTGTTGTAGCTCTGAACCGTTTTGTCCGTTTCGTTGAAAACGTGCTTGCCGAGTCTTATCCCTACAAAAGCAGGATATATCGAGTCCCAGGCGATGAAGCGGTGGAATCAACTTACAGGCGTTCTTCGTCTCGGAGTAATGGCTGATAAAATCAGCGCACTCTAGTGTCTGCTGCGCTATCTTTCCATATATCGCTAGCATGGATTGGATCTTGGCCAATTCCTCCTCTTCAGCGATGAAAGTATAGACTTCAGATATCTTTGAGAGTAGATTGGAAACCGCGACATCGCGGTCTGCCTGATCGAGAATCATCTGTAACCGAAAATTCGTTAACGTACAACGGCAATGATCGAGAAAGAAGCCTACCTTGGACGCGCAAGTGAAGATACTCAGTGCCACCTTCGCGTAGGGATGGACCTGCGTGTGAATGTCAGTCGTGCACCGAAAAGGGATAGATGACTGTACATTTGCGATTTCGTTGGCAATGGTGTTGAATGCCTTCAAGGGTTTAAGCAACGCCGAGAACGTGTCGATTGTGTCAGGAACAGATGGTATGTTATTGATCGCCGAAGAAGCATCTTTGACTATTGTTGGGACCTGGCCGATGCCTGCGACATCTTTAGTGGTAGCATTGGCGATTCTTTCGTTCACAACCTTCGGGTCGAGATGTTCGGCCTAAGTAGAGATGTTAGCACCTCGTCGAAAGAGACCAATAAAAATATTGCGAACTTCGTTGGTCGAACTTGCCTCTACAATCCCTGAATCGGAAGACTGCTCGCGATCTGCTTCAGAAGTGGGAGCAGTAAGACCCTGTAGAGGCGATTAGTAGCAAACAGTGGCATGCTACCTGGGCATGCTCATAATTGAAATCGGACATGCCTTGTTGGCCTGAGTGGGTTCAGGGTTGGGGGACTGTCGAGCGCTTCGAGCGAAGCGCTTGGTCACCTTGCCAAAGAGCTTGCGAACTGACCCCGAGGATCGTCCACTGGACCCATCCCTCGAAGATGAGAGAGAGGATGGCTGATGTGATCAGAAAAAATTCGTGGGTCTAAAAACGAAAGTTCATACATCTTGACTGGCTGCCTTCCTGCCACTGTCCTCTGCCGAATGTAAGTCTGAACGTGGCTTCAACGACTCCCATTGTTTCTTCCGAGGAGGATTGTCTTCATTCATCTAGTAAGTGGGAAGGATGGCTAGGTGAGTAGTAATGCCTTGGTGAAAATGGAACGAGGAGGGTGGTGGGCGGCACGAAAGATAGACAGGCGCCCACATGTTGCGGCGATGACGGTTGTTATTAAAGATGAACCATGTGCTTGGAAGCGCCCGTTATTGATTGGCCAGACCACTAATAACATGGTAGAACGTTATCCAAGGCTGAAGAGGTTAATGGTCATGACTCACGAGTAAGCCTCGCCGTTCTTTGGTGCACTCAACGATCGAATTGCACAAGTCCTGACTCCTGCAGTACTTATGGGATACAATCACAGTTCACTCAGGATTATCGATTCAAAATCCTACACATGGGGGTAGTAAGAACAGCCATAATTGTGTCATTCTACTGACGATGTACTGGAATCGGAAAGACTGTAGAACAGCGAAGGGCGAGCCTTCTTCTTCCGCCATAAGATGATAGGTCGATGTCGGAGCAAAAGTTAGTACCGTGTTGTACAGTGGCTGTGTGCGATTGAATATCGTGTGCTAAAAATAGTACACCTCTTCGCTACTACATGTGCTTCGAACTCGGTGCCATGATTTGGATATGACCACTAACACTGCTAAATATAAGAGCAAAGGGTTCGCCATGGAAAAGTAGGTCTATCTGTAGCAGATACGAGACAAGGGCTGTTCGCCAACATTTTTGCCTTCCAAGCAGCACACCATCCATTGTTGGCATGCGTCCATTTCTACGAGATAGCTGCGATTGACTATGATGGTGACAGCCGAGTGGTTCTCGCGAAACAGTTGCTGAAGGCCCGGTTTCTCTTGTCTCAAAGAGCCTTCTCGAGTGTGAAGGGCAGACTCAGTGGATCGCGATAAAGACATCTACCATCCATCGCAAATATGCCAAAGAGCCGCACGATATCATCAAAGAGGCGAGGCTGATCGCCTCCGCATGCCATCCAAATGTGAGTCTCGCGCAGAATGGTTGGCCGAGTCTTACGTCTCATCATCAGGTGGTTTCTATCTTAGGCCATAGCATCGATTCAACCCGGCAGACCATGAGCTTTTGGATGCCATATGTGCCTTCGTCTCTGATCGCATTGTTGTCTTCGAACGACTTTTCGCCTCATCCACTCATCTCAATTCTGGCCGCAGATCCATCAAATCCGAGTCCACGCGAACAGCGCTTCGTCCTTCTCGCGAAATCGCTCATGTTTCAAATCCTAATTGGCGTGACATTCCTTCACGAGACGGCGAAAATTGCACACCGAGATATCAAACCAAGCAACATACTTCTCACGTCATCTGGCCGAGTCCAGCTCATTGACTTTGGCATATCCTGGAAAGAAGGGGAAGATCTTGCTGCAAAGAAAAACGATTTATGGGTTGAAACCCCAGAAAAGATGTACTTTGAAGTTTCTACGGGGTATGTCCCTATCTGAGCGGGTATGAACCGGGCTCACGCTTCTGTAGACCATATCGCGCCCCTGAGCTGCTGTTTGGACCTAGGAATTATGACCCATTCGCGATCGACTCTTGGAGCCTCGGAGCGACTTTTGCGGAATTCTTCACTTCCGTTCGTCTGTTTAACCCACTTGACGATGAAGACTTCGGCGATGAGCAGTCTGACTCAGACGACGATAGCCCCGGCAGCCCATCGAAGCCTGCCGAGCCGTTCATCATACCAAAGAGACTTCGCATCGGAGATCCCACGAACAGGTGGGCCAGGGATTCACTGTTTGATTCCACACGTGGAGAGATTGGTTTAGCATGGAGTATTTTCAAGATACGAGGTTCTCCAAATGAGACCAACTGGCCAGTGAGTGACGTTCGATTTGTTACTGGGATCTTCTTTTCTGACTCGAACAAGTCTTTCTTGAACTTACCGGATGCAAACAAGTTGTCCTTCATAAATGTAGACCCTGTTGACCTTCCCTCTATCCTACCCAATTTTCCTTCATCCACGCAACAGCATGAAGTCGACACAAAGACACACATACCCCCAGAGACCATGTCACCAACTCCTGTTGATATTATCCACCGATTCCTTGTATACGAACCATCTCAGCGTCTCCGCCCTTCCAGGGCTTTAACTCACCCCTGGTTCACCTCCGAACCACCGTTACTTCTGCCAGATGACTTTCCTGTCTCGAATATCCCTGGTGAGGCCCCCATAAGCCTTAGCTGGGGCGCAAAGTCTTTGGGAGAATGGCTTTTAAATGTTCATCCCAGTGGCGCAATTTGAAGGAATGAGTAGAACGACGGATACGACAAGATCATATGTTATACAATGCACATAATTTACAAAGCATGATAGAAAGCCAGAACTCGACCATTACAGAACTGGAAGTGCCCATGCATCATGCATGTATCTCAGGCTGCCGCAGGCACAGGCTTGATGACTCGACGAGCGAGAGCGTGGTTATCGATGGATATACCTGTGCAAGAACAAATAAGAAACATGTCCCAGGAGATAGTCATCTCACTAACTCTGTGTTGCATTTGCAGTCTTGTAGATACCAATGAGACGGTGACTGAGCTCGAACATGTCATTCCTGCGAATTCATATTAGCGAAGGTGGTTCTCGGGAGAGAGGGAATTGTCACCTCAAAGATATAATGATGAACTGTGCGTTCTTGGTACGGTCCTTGATATAATTTGCTACAATCGAGACATTCCTGAAGTCTAGGGCCGCATCTATTTCATCCATGAAATAAAGTGGTGTGGGCTAGGATAGGTTCAGGCTACTGGAACTGCTCAGAGTTGATGCGAGATTTACCTTAAACACATGCAGAGCGAATACGAGAGCAAGCGAGCTAAGGGTCTGGAGAATGATTAGTATGCGTTCTCTAATCCTCATAGCAGAATGTACCTTTTCGCCCCCAGAGAGATTTGAAATATTCTTCCAACTCTTCTTCGGAGGCATGACGCTGAAAATGATGCCCTCCGAGAAGGGATCCATACTATCGACAAGCTCAAGCTCTGCATTGCCCCCAAGAGTGATCATCTAATGGAAAATATAGAATTTCGACGAACCAAAGAACGTCAGCACGGACCTGGTACATTTCCTTGAGTTTCAATGAAATCAAGCTGAAGCCTGCCATGAATTCATCCAAGCGTTGTTTCCGTAGACCATCGTAGAGTTGCTTCTGCGCATCGCGTGCTGCAGTCGTCTCCTCTAAGTCTTTGGCACGTTTCATGAATTCCTCTTCTCGCTTTTTGTACTCCTTGAGAACGTCGAGGTTCGGATTGGTATTCTTAAGTTTCTCTAAGGCGACCAGTTAGTAGTAATCAAGTGCGACTAAGGTGAGGAAACATACCATCAAGATACTCAGAATCTGCAAGCATATCTCTCTTCTTGAAGCGTGCAAGTTCATCGGCGCTGTATATGTATAGCTCGGTAGATGGTGATCGCTGACGAGCCTTTTTCGCAGGTGCAGAGTCTGCATGTTCCTGCTTCACCACCCCTTCACCACTGCCTGAAGCTCCAGCGACTTGATCAGCACCTTCCTCTTCGTCGTCGTCATCATCATCACTGCGAGTGGCTGTAAGCCTACGAAAGTTGAAACAATGAATAGATAATGGCTCACTCGATTTCGTGAAGCTTAAGTTGGTCGTGTTCCGTCCGCCAGTGATCAAGTACACGCTCATTTTCAGCAGACTCTTTCTTCTTGTCAGCAAGCTTCTGGGTGATCTCAAGCTGCAAAACCTGTGAGTACCGAAATATCAATTGCATAGCAAATAACCGACCTCTTTCTTCCTGAACTCATCGATTTCCTCGCGTTTTTCCTGGAGTTGCTGCTTGAGTTGATCGAGATCATCTTTCGAGCTCTCCTGAGCAGCCTGCGCAGCCTCCACCTTCTCCTTGAGATCTTCCAAATACTGTGCGACCTCCGCCAGCTGATCCTTCAACTCTTCAAGCTCTTTCTCGACTTCTTGCAGCGCTGCGCGGTTGGTCTCAATGCTAGACGTATATTTCACGATGTTCTTCTCTGCCGTAGCCTTCATAACCTCAGCCTTGGTGACCTCTTCGTTAGCTAGCTGGTGCAGCAAGCGAATACCGTCAACGGTCGACTTCTGCTTCAGCAGCTTGGAGCCACCAATTTCGAGGATCTTCTTTTCGAGATCTTTAATCGCGGCCTCGATAGCGCCAGTCTTGGTTTGCAGTTCTTCAAGCTCTTCTGTTGATGATGCAATCTGGGCATCTAGAGTGTTGATTCGAGCTAGATCCTTAGCGTTCGGCTTGCTTTGTGCCCTAGAAACTACTTAGTAGCGACCGAGCGTAGGATAAATGGGATGCACGTACTTGAAATCCTGCACACGCCTCTCAGCATCAGTCAGTCGTTTCTTCCCATTATTGATGCCCATGGTAAGCTTTTCGATGTTAAGCTCTATTTCCGGGACTGACTGAGTGAGCCTTTCGGCTTCTGCTTCAATATTGCGAAGCTCCTGCTGTGCCGCCTCAAGACTACGTGCCGCCTGCTCACTCTCTTGCTCATAGGTTCTCAGAACTTGTGGGCTCACTGCCTCCGCCTGGAGCTTCGAGCTCATTCCACCCCGCGAGACGTGGTTCCCACCACCCGACATCGTTCCTGATGAATCAATCAGCTGCCCTGCAAGCGTGACAACACGCCAACGCCTCGCGCTCCCGAATGCAATCCTGTTCGCTTGGTCCAAATTATCAGCGACAAGGGTGTTCCCAACGCCTTTGTAGAACGCAGATGCAAAGCGGGGATCCTTTGGCTTGATGAGATCGAATAGCCGCGGGACACCTTCGGGTGTGACCACACGCTCGTTGAGTTTGTCAGTGGGAAGTTTCTCCAGCACCATGAACGATGCACGCCCGATGTTCTGCTTGCGCAAAAACTCGATGCATGCTTGACCCTGGGCGACAGTGTCTACAACCATGTTGTTAAGGGCGCCACAGGCGGTAGAGACTGCGATATCGTATTTGTCTGGGATCGTGCCTAGGCTACCGAGACGGCCCTGTGAGATAATGAGTGATTAAAAGGTTGCACAGAGCACGAGACCATACATGGAACCCATCGATCCGACCAGTCTGCTTGAGCTTCGTTAAGCTATCTAGGACTTTGTTCTGCGATGTGCTCGCTGCTTGAGATGCTCTAGCCTCCTCTGCCTTTTGCCGCAGGGAGCCTGCCTTGGATCGAAGCTCCTGAACACCAGCCTGAGCAGCCTGAACGGAAAGGGAAAAAAAAGAACGTCAAAGTCGATCACACTCTGCATGCCCGCAGACATACGTGGAATTTTTCTTCACATGTCCCCAACTTCTTCTGCACCTCTGCCTTTTTCATCCTCAAGGAATCTAATTCATTCAGCTGAACGTTCCATCAATGTCATCTTTCCCACTTGACAAAATGGAACAGCACCTTGTCCTCTTGCTCTACCTGCAACTCAGCCAACTGCCCCTCCGCTTGCGTAACAGCGTCTTTGAGCCCTGTAGCTTTCTTTGCAAGTGCGTCCCGTTCAGAGCGTGCTACGTCAATCGCAGCTTGTTTGACATTGATCTTGGCAGTCCACGGCTGTAGCTCTTTTTGCTTCGCCTCAATCTGTTCGTGAAAGACTTGTGTCTTGTCTACCAATCCATGTTAACAATAGTGTCAAGTGTGGCGAGACCATGGACTCACCCTTCAAGCTATCCCGGATCCCTTCGAGCACCTTCTCTTCCTTCTCCAGGTTCGCTTCGTGCTCCGTGATCTCACGCTTCTTCGTCTTGATTTTAGTATCGGAGTCCTGGACTGTGTTATCGGCTTGCTTTTTCGATTGTTCATCCTATTTAAACGACATGTTAGATCTGTCCTACTCATAATGCCAATGAAGGCCGGGAAATAAGCATGGAGCGGAGAGACAAATGAAACACGGGGATGTGTCAAACAAAATGAAAGGAAGTAAGAACAACAGCGAAAGAAAACTTACGTCTGCCAACGCCTTCTTCAGCTTTTTCGCCTTCGCGCTTGCATGCTTCCGGCGTTCCTCAAGGCTCACGGACTGCTTCTCGCGTGCCGCGTTGTCCTTCGCCGCTTCCTCTGCTGCTGCTTTCACTTCCTGAAAAGATAGGATACATGAGCATTGAAGTAGGAAGAGCAACACACATCCATACCTCGTAAGCCTTCTCGCGTTCCTTGTAATGCTTCTCAAGCAATTCTAAATGAGTGATGTCATCCTTGTTGCGTTCCCTCTCATCTTCAAGCTCCTTCTCCAAATGTTCCTGCCCCACATATCAGCAGCGCAAATAAGAGGGAGAAAGATCAAGCACCCACAATTTGCGCGGCGAATTGTTCATCATTCTCTAAACATTTCCACAAATAATACTGCCACAGCCGGCTGAGAGCCCGCACATGCTCGTTCGCAAGCTTCAGCCATGCCAACGCTTCCTTCCTCTCTGCATCCAATTTCGCCTTCTCCTTCTCCACGATCCTCAATCTAGCCACCTTCTCGGTTCTCTCCTCTCCTAGTCGATCCACCTCGGCAAGAGCAGACTCGATTGGTGCTTTGAGCGCAGCAGTACCGATAATGTCCTCTAGATATTCAAGTAATCCATCATCATGCTCAGAATTACCTTTAGGCTTCATCTGCGCGATAGATTCAACTTCGCCCTGCAGAATAAGGAAACGCTTGTGCGTGAGGTCAATCCCACGCCCCTGAAGAAGTGTTTGGACCTCAGTATAAGTGGACGGTCGTGAGTTGAGCGTATACCGAGAATTATTGGATTTGGTTGCTGTGCGAGCGACGACGAGTGAGGAGTTCGGGACGACACTATATGCGTCGGGTCCAGGCTGGGAGGTTGGGCGACTTAGTTCGGTCAAACGTTAATGTGAAGGAACATACGAGGTCGACGATCTCGCGGAAATGAACTTCTACGCTGCACTCATCCAAGTCAGGATACCGTGCAGAATTGTGGATCAGCTCCGAGAGCTTCCCCTGGCGCATCTTCGACGCGCGGTAACCAAACACAAAAAGGAGCGCATCAATCGTGTTAGATTTCCCGGATCCATTGGGGCCTACGATGGACGAAAAAGACTATCCGTCACCGAAGTTAACTATAGCACACGTTAACTTTAAGAAGTGTACTAGAAACGTACCTTGTGGAATGGCCCGATCTCTTGTCTGCCCGCGTAACTCTTGAAATTAACGAGTACCATCTTGTGTATCACAAGACGTGGCTTAGGACCTGAAGGTTCTTCAGCGGGCGGAGGCCGCATTACCGACACAGGTTTCGCGCGGGGCTCAAGGAGGGAAATTTCTTCCTCTTCCTCCTCCGGTGGGGCAGGGCGTTTAGGCGTCATTTGCGACAGCTGCGACTGACGTGGTACACGCCGAGGCGTCTGCATAAATTCTTCCTGGAATCCGTCGAGGTCATCTGTGTTGTCTTCGGCAGTGGGTGAGGGATGCTTGGGTGGTGTAGCAGGGGCAGATTTGCGAGGCCTGGGAGTGACCTCGACATCAGCGGGAAGCGGCATTGCCTTTGGCTTTCTAGAAGACACTTTAGAGCTTCTGGGAGGTGTAACATCAGATTCATCACTGGATATAGCAATGGGATTATGTTCGTCATTGTCGGATTCGAATTTGACGGGCTTGTGGGATCGGGGAGCCGGTTTGGGCTTTGCGGGCTTGATATCTTGTGCTTCATCATCATCTTCGAGGTTGTTTTTTGCCTTGCGAGGTTTCCTTCCCTTAGCCTTCGACGCAGGTTTGATTTCATGAATATCGTCATCGTCTCCAGGTGCTTTGCGAGATGTTCTTCCGCGTGTGGGTTTGGCGGGTTTGATTGCTTGAATTTCCTCCTCGTCTTCCGAGATAGTGATAGGTTCCTTTATTTCCTCTACATCTGAATCTTCTACCACGGTTTTGCGCGATCGAGTTGCCCGGGGTTTCGCGGATGCCTTCCGAGAAGGTTTTACTTCTTGCACCTCGTCGTCGTCGTCCTGCACAATTGTCTTCATTCGACCTCTCCTTGTTTTCTGCAACTCCACAATTTCATCGTCATCGTCATCATGATCCTCACCCTCAACAACATTTCTCAACTTCTTCTTCACAGGTTCCTCCTCATCCTCTTCTGTCTCAGCCACCTCTTGCAGCGCGCGATTAGGTTTCACAGACGAGCGTGTAGATGCTCTTGCAGATGCTCTGGAAGAGGGTGCTGCATGTACTTTCGAAGAAGGGCCCACGCTGCTTCTTGTCGATGTCCTGCGTGCTCCGGGCGCATTTTCTTTCTCCTCTACATCGTCTGCGTCGGTTCGTTTGCGTTTCGCAGAGTTTGATGCCTCTTGCTCAGTGGACGGTCGTAAAGAGCGAGATGACCTGCGGGGAGGCATCATTGGGAAATTTCCCAAACTTAGGACGATCTTGGTTGATCCAGGAGAAAGGTTCTATGCGTGATGTGATGCGTTGTGTGACTGTTCGCGTGTGTCACATCACATGACTAGCCTGTGGGCTGTCCCGACTCCGGATCCTCCTTCTTCACGACTTAATACTTATCTCTCATACAAGCTCAGAGCCTCGGGGAGCGTCGTCGCGGTGTGTCATTCGGTAAAGTGAGACAAGGCAAAATTCGAACAATTGAAGATGAATTGAGTTTGACCATCCCTTGTATGAGATCGTCACGTTTTGTTGCCAATCATGATGTTCATCAAATCATTTTATCCGTTCCTGCTTCCAGTTTGTCCAAGGACCAAGGTGCAGTCTTCTCTTTAATCGTTCTCTTCTCCTCAAGACATAGACACCACATTTTGTTCAAATCTAACTCAACACTACATTCCCTTTTCCCTTGCCGTCCTCGATTATATTGAATACATTCATTTCTCAAGCTGGGGTGTACTATCATCTCTGGGTCGCCGTTGCTGATTATCATAGCACTTATATTTGCATCCAAGAAGCCAACACTTTGAGTTTTTCAGTTCGAGGTCGAAATAGAAGTTTTATTGATAATAATACAATGTAGGTCCTGGTACTATCTTTGACTTCACGCTGAAGTCCACAGAAAAAATCCCACACGCATCATGACGAGGCATCGGAATATCATACAGAACAGAATTGGAAAGGTTCTCCCAAAAAATGGCTGACTCCCCCGAGTCGAATAATGCAGCATCGTATTCGTGCGGGTGACCTTCAACCTTATAGGACGTTTAGCAGCCGACGAAGTATATTTGTTTTTAAGCATAAAAACAGTGCTCATAATCTGTTCGTGTAGTTGCTATTTGTTAGCTGCACTTCCAGGTCGTGCTCTGGACCATCTGGTTGGGCCATACGGCTAGTGGACATTCGAATTTGTTGTCATTGTTTGCTTGCACGAGCGCTTTGATAGCGCTTACCACCATGATCAATCCATGGGCCCTCACAAACGTGGTCATCAATGCTACCCATAGTCCAACGCCACAGTCACGCTGTCGGTCAAGACACTGACCGCTTAGTGTATTCACAGCTCTAAATCGCTCAAAAGGGTGCATGTTTACAAGGTAGCTACCCAGTTCTCTCCTCTGAACCCTCCTTCACAAAAAAACACCTCCCTTATCCTCAGACTACTACTCATCACAATGCCCGACATCGTGCAGGTCGGCTCCAACGTAACCCATAAGCCCTCATTCAATATTGTCATTCCCTCGCTCCAGCAACGCCTCGCCAACTTGAAGAGGAAGCGGCGCTCCAGCTCTTCTGAGAGCTCCCACCCAGGACACTCTCAAGTCGAAAAGCCACGAATGGAGGTTGGGCCGAAGGAGGAGGAAGAGGGGTCGCCAAACCTAGCAGAAGAAAATCAGGCTGTATCGGACAGGCCGCGTCTGTATATCAGAATACAGCGTCCAAAGCCGCAGATTGATCCTGTCAAGGACGAAGGTAACACGCCGGAAGTTGAGCCAAAGGCGGAGAAAGAGGAGTCACCAAGCCTAGCAGAAGAAAATCAGGCTGTATCGGACGAGCCGTGCCTGTATATCAGAATTCAGCGTCCAAAGCCGCAGATCGATCCTGTGAAGGACGAAGGTAACACGCCGGAAGTCGAGCCGAAGGAGGGGAAAGAGGAGTCACCAAGCCTGGCAGAAGCAAATCAGGCTGTATCGGACGAGCCGCGCCTGTATATCAGGATGCGGCGTCCAAAGCCGCAGACTGATCCTGTGAAGGACGAAGGTAACACGCCGGAAGTTGAGCCGAAGGCGGAGAAAGAGGAGTCACCAAGCCTAGCAGAAGAAAATCAGGCTGTATCAGATAAGCCGCGTCTGTATATCAGGATTCGGCGTCCAAAGCGGCAGACTGATCCTGTGAAGGACGAGTATTCCGATGCTGGCAAATCACAGGAGAAAGAGGGGGACGAGGACAGTTATCGGGAGGATAGCTCCTCCGAGAGTAGCAATGAGTCGGCCGATGAATACATACCTCCACGCAAGCGTCAGCGTCTTCAAGCCAACTCGTCCTCGCATGTCCTCCGCTCCTCCAAGGGAGTGCAGACAAATAATTGATTGCATCTGTGTTACTACTATACAAATGGTTCGTATGTTGAACTTTTTCTAACGGTGTAGAAAGCTGATGAAAATACATGGAAATGGTTGCCTGTGTACTATAGAAAGTTTGGAAGGGGCGTTCTCACAATATTGAAGAGGGACTCTTGGGGAAGATGTAGTAGATAACTGAGGCCACTACTGTAAATATTGTATCACGAAGTATGTACGTCAACTTATGAATTGGATTCGGACAAGGCATGGACACAAAGAAGGGTATGCGCGAGCATTTCAGTCGCTTAATCTTGTTGCCCGTACGTGTCAGAGACTATTTATCTTATGAACTCGTTATCCTGGCAATCGAGCAGTGCACCCAACCAGTACTAGTTGACGGGTAGCTGCCTCGGAGACCGCTATAGTAATCGTTCCTCTGTACAGTAAGCCTAGTCCCTTAGCAGTGTCACTTGCACCGAGCATCGAATACAATGCATCATTTATTGGGCAGGCTTTCGAAAAGAGTTTCTACGGAAGGACTGGGCCGTCTCACATCAATCAAGTCGATATTTGAGTTCCCGAATGTCGAGTCCGAGCTCTAGAGTGACACTATCATCTAATTTAAATACCAGTAAGCACAACTTACACGACTCCTCGTATGTCAACAAAAGTTCCTGCAGATCAAGCAATGGATGCTAATGATGAATTACAGACCTAAACTATACCTCCGCCCAGCCCTGATCGATTCCTTCTCGCATGACCCACCTGCATCCCCCTAACCACTTTCTTATCCTCTCTTCATCTCGTTCCTCCCCCTCTTCCAACACACTTGTGTCACCAGCGCCTTGCAGTGCCAATACAGCCCATCCAACAACCATCATACCCGGAGGTCTTTGCTCTCCCGCAACATCCAACGCTTCACATATATCTCCAAGCGTACTTGCGACTACCCGTTGATCAGGCATCGAGCCGCGCTCGATAATGGCAATAGGCGTGTTCCGAGGGTATGGATGCCCCTCTCGTCTCCCTTCACTATTCTGCAGGCCTTCCCTACTGTCACTGTCGTTGCGAATCATAGCGTCAACAACCTGCGCTATGCGGGCGACGCCCATGAGGATGAGCACAGTCCGCGAGCGTTCGTAACCAGGAAGCTTGACCTCCTTGCCCTGTCGCCCGACTCCGGTACACACAACGACACTTTCTGCAACGCCACGCTGCGTGACTGGGATTCCAGCGAAAATAGGCGCTGCAAGTGCAGACGAAACGCCCGGGACAACGAGCGGTTCGAACCCGTGTGCTCGGAAGAAGAGTACTTCCTCCCCTGCACGGCCGTAGACGACTGGGTCTCCTTGTTTCAGCTGTGTGACGAGATAATTGTCAGTGTCAAAGAAACGAAAAATCGGACGTACTCTGACGACAGTGAGGCCACGTCGAGCAGCTTCGACGGCTGCGTCCATCATCTCTGACTGCGCGCCTTCGGCATTGCCAGGGAATTTGCGTGCAATGCGCACATCGACAGTTTCAGGTATGAGAGCCAGTACAGCAGCGGGAACGAGCTTGTCCGAGAGAACAAGATCTGCGTGTTTCGTAAGCGCATTATGAGTTGCAATGGTGAGAAGGGAGGGATGTCCTGGGCCGGAACCAACGAGGAGAATACGGCCTTTCTTTGGAGGCGGTAAAAGTGTCAAGTTATGTAGTGAATTCTCGTTTGGAACCTGAACTGAGCATGGTGAGGTCGTTTGGGAAGAGTCGCCGGATAATATGAGCTTCATGTCGTCTTCTGACATGGATGCCAACCGTGTGATAGCCCAATACTCGCTGACCTGAGCAACCCATTTCATGCGGCGGTGGGAGGACTCGTCTTTGCTTTCGGTGGCACTGCTTCTCCAACCAGGTACGGGCCTGTTAGGAGTGGTGACACTACTGTTCTCACCTTCTTCACACTCTCCGACCTCGTCATCTGTATTCTTAGCCAAACGTCGAAGTTTTCCGACCTGTCTGACAGCTCCGGCAATGTCTTTTGGAAGCATGCTGACAATCTCTCGTCTAACACGCCCCGCGAGCCTGCATCCCTCCCCATTGGTTGTCACACCCACTTGTAGCGCACTCTGCCCGCTTGTAGATGGGTCAGCGAAACGGTGCGTGGATGCAAAGGAGAAGTCGCATAGTGCAGGATGGTCGGTAACGTTTACGGGGATGTTATGTGCATGACAGATACGTGCAAGTGCGGGTGTGTCCGCCGTGTGTATGGTGATGCAGATAAGAGATATAGATGGGTTTTCGGCGAGGAATGCAGAGAAGGACTCTTCGGGAACTGAGGGAAGTGGGGAAGTAGACACAGAGGGAAGCATGTCCCAGTCTGTGAGGTTTACTTGCTGTTGGTCCGCTCTCCATCTCAGCTCGTCACATACTGACCCTCTAGCGAGTATGATCACTTGCATACCTGCCTCGAGTGCCGCAAATGCCCTAGAGGCGGCCAGGACATCACCGCCAATAATAAGGATGGTGTTTCTGGGACCTTTGAATGTCAGAAGGAGGGACGCTCCACCTACTGGCGCGGGGTACTGACTCAATCCATTGGAGACCATGGAAAGGATAAAAAGAGGAGCAGGGTGTGCTTTCAAAATCTGGCATGGTATAGCAAATCACATCTATTAAATAATTACATAAATATATGTCAAGAGTGTGCTGAGCTACTAGTTTCTGAGGTCTTTTTACGTCACACTGCTGGTACCTTGTTTTTGCCACGGCTTGGCAGCCGAACGTGGTGACAGGACAATAAACCATTTCCTTCAAGCATCTATCTACCAAATACCACAGTCGTGAGACATACATGTCTTCATTGGCAGAATTGGAATCTATTTGTACTCCTTTATCTTTCGGCATAATCTGTATATCATTATATCCGTATCACAAACAACGTTCCTGCATGTCATGCGTCACCATGTCATCGTCTGTTGTTTGTATCATATATATGTGAATATTGCCCTGTAGATAGGACTAAGCCGCTCACTTAGGATTCATTCTTCTGCAATCTGGTATAAACGAGCCGCATGAAAGCGTACATCGCGCCACCAGTCAGTGAAGCGATCTATAATTTATTTGATCAAAGTGGAGAAGCGGTAAGCGTAGTCGACTCACCCCAGCGAACAGAGCGGGTTTCCACCAAATAAAATGCGATGTGAACAGAACACCAAATATAGGTGGTCCTAAATGAACATATATACGGTGAAGTAAGAAATGCTACAAATGCACCCACCAAGTAAACTTCCGAATGCTGCAGAATGAATGTGTGCCAGTTCAAAATAATATAGAAGTAAATCTGATCATACTCACCATCGAGAAAGAAATAGATGCCCATCCACCCGCTGTGACCAGATCAGATCATTCGCACATACCGAAGCTCAAGTGATCACTCACCCAAGTTCAGAGGGGTTGCGTGCTAGGGTAGCCACGAGTGGACCCTCCATCGCGGTATCTGCATTATCGATCAACAACTTCAACTACTAGCATGTAGTGAAACAGAAAAATACTTACACACCCCTGAAAAATAGCCATAAAATGCACCAAGAATAGCGACGCTGGCCAGGGTGCGCAATCCCATCATGCCCAGAATTACCGATCCGCACGAAATTGCCGCAATCATGGTTAAGTTTAGTACTCCTGTAAACGCTGCGATATACCCTGATGTAATTCGTCCCGCACAACTGGACGCATTTAAAATCGCAAGCTAACGATGGCATTAGTAGGGATATCACTTGCATAGTGCTAGACCACACAGTGTAAAATGAAAAAGTGATGTTGATGCCGTGTTTGATAGAGTCGAGTTGGAGGAAATATGTTGGGTAGTAAAAGCCAATCTTGAATATAAACGCCCTGCATAACGAATGATCATTGGAAGGGATTCGAAAGATGCCGTATTGCAGGTCTTACCCTGATATCGCGAAAAGAAACGGAACATAACGAAAGCATTTTCTAGCTGTCGCAATATAGTTCACTGGGGTCGTCGGCGGATCAAGGCGGGTTCGCACACACAAGCATGCAATCAAAAGGAGCATACTGGTCAACCCTGCACTTGCACGCACGCCATTGGCAAAGCCAAGGTGTCCATTCAGGAGGTTATTGAGCATAATCGGATAGACGAGAGAACCGGACGATGAGCCCAAAGTAACGAATGTCATCACCAGCGTGCGTTTCTGTCTGAAATGATGCGAGACGACAGCCAAGCCCGGGACGTGCAGCAACCCTACCGCGATACCTGAGCCTAAGCCTTGAGTAAGAATTATCTATTAAGATGTCAGAAGACGAAATGTTAGAAAGCCGGAGGGCGCTACCTGGAAGTACTGATGTGGCTTTGCCAATGACAGCATGAAAAGAGAGAAACTCTGCAGAAGCGATCCGGTAATGACAAGATGGTAACTAGGTAGGCCTGCTGAGCACTGTCCCCAAGACACTTGCATCTACACTCACAAATAACCTCGATCATAGAGTGAGCCTGATATAATACCCCCAGCGCTGCCTAAAAACCCTGTCAAGCTCCCGATGGATCTGCAAACGACCATGAGGATACTCACGATAGAGAAGCCTGTAGAACTCACGAAATAGCAAATGATGTCTCATTTGTGAGGTAATGCCGAGTATAGAAGTCTGTAGCGCAAGCCGTTCAAACATAGTTCTATCCTCACGTTTATGTGTAGCAATACCTTCATAGACACCAAATGAAGCGGTGTAACTTTTGACATTCAGCAAAATTCCTCGTCGATGAGAGGGCATAACACTCACCCCCAAGTGCAGAACATTATGAGAAACCTGAACCGATCAAGTAAGAGCCAATCCCACCAAAATCGTGTCTCCTTACGCTCCAAAAGCAGTGGACCAAGCGGCAAGACCACCTTCTGGAAACTCTTGCAGGAGCAAAGGAAGGTCGGAGTCCTTGGAGACTGGGTATTCAACTCCCAGCTCCTCTGACCCCCCTTTGTGCTCTTGTGCAGCCCAGGATTCCACAACAAGTATTTGAGGTTTGGTTTCGACTGCCATTCGTGGGGTGGGACAAGTGATGGCAGGAGCTGTACATATACACAATTCTGAGCGCTTAGCGCTGATCGTTTCATCATATACATACTCAGACCTAGAGTAACGTGTGATGTGCATAAATACTTACATGGACGGTTCAACATTCGATGAGCATCTGCTTCACACACGAATCACTGATGTTGAAGATGCCATCAAACTTACATAGATGAAAAATTTGACAGTATCTTCGATGCAATAGGCCGCAATAGCAATCGGCAGATCTTGGTGCTCAATCCTGTGCATCCAGAAGAGATTTTGAGATCGGAATGGCTGGATGGTGATCGGTGATGGTTGCGTATCATGTTGGTGAATTGTTGACGAATGTCAATTACTTGGCCATGCCGTTCACATTCGTTTTCGAAAGTCTGCTGTGCGACGTGTTGATCAGAAGATTCAGAACTGCTCGGAGCACATACCATTTTGAACCCAACGACCGTCACAGTCTACGTATCCCTTTCGGAAGTTCAGGCCTCAGGCACGAACGTGTAGATGATGCATGACATGAATGAGGTACCGTTTCACCAATTTCCAGACGTAGAGAAGACAGGGCTTCGAAGCTTCTGGTGAAGTTCCAAGTTGTAGAATATCGGAGCCGAAGACCCCTGGCTCTATTCCTGTTGTCACGCAGTTGATATATACAGGGGGTAGCATCATCAAGGGGTACATTGGATCCAAGTTGGATCAGGCTGACACTCGTGAACAGAAAAGAACTTCAGCCAGGGTCTGGAGATAACGACGATTCAATATTCAATCTCCGATCACGTATCCCTTCCCCGGCCCGGCATCTGTCCGTATATTTGATGCTGCATGCATGCATGATGCATTCTCTCTCTCAGGCGTTGTGCAACATTCCTCAGTCATATTCAAGTTTCATCTGTGTCATCCCTGATCGCCTTTGCGGGACACTTGGGGAACGGTCTTCCCTGGTCAGACCACATAGGAGGAAGACAGTTGTTCCTTGATTACGTTAGTGTGGAGCAAAGCCAGCCAGAACACCTGCCTGGAAGAGACAAACGAGTGTGCAGCGACCTGTTATCATGCTCGGCCGCCAAGGCCGTAGCGAACAAGGTACCAGCAGTGTAACGTAAAAAGACCTCGGAAACTTCGTCAGCTCTGGTAATTAGTAAGTAGTATCTCCTATGTTCGTTCAGCCACTTGATGGTACCCTTTAGACAGACCTTCGTTTCTTCTATTGAAAAGGTACCATCACACCCTTGGGTGAGAAGCCAATGCACACTTCAGGGGAGTGCAAGTCGCCGTTACCGATTCGTGATACCTATCTCTGCCCAGCACATATTTCTCCAGGCCGTTCGTGCGACTGATATCACCCTTGGTCCAATCAAACTTATCGTAGCTTTGTCCTACAGCGAATTGTGACAAGTGACGCGTCGTGAATTCATTCTTCCTTCATTTTATTCCGTTGCCCTCCTCGGTAACTTGTAGGAAAGACCCTCTTCAGCCTCCGAGTTGATGACGGTCCGAATGGCATTCAGGTACTACAGATATAATCAATAAAGCATCTCGCTCCAACGAAGAATGATAAATCAAACCTAACTTGAAGATACTAGAGGTAAAAGCATGCTCTCGGATGTCAACAGATCAGAAACGGGTCCTGGTTTACGGTCTTGGTGATATAGAGGTGCCTGATGGAGAGGTTCAAACCCTGAATGTGAAGCGCCGTGAGCACTACCACTACATCAGTCATGTGTGATGAAACGAGAAACTTACGAGCCAGCCCCAACCTTGAATGCCAGCAGTAGTGGCATCGAACTTCTTGAGTGCATCGAGCGACCCGAAGGCCTGCTCGATGACCTTCTTAGGAAGACCAGCCTTCGCAGAACTACCATTATCGTTACCCTGACCAGAACGGGCCCTAAATTCTTTCATAAGAGAGTGGTTGATATGACCTAAATGTTGCTTGGTATGCATGGCTGGGTACTGGATGTGGGAAGGTAGAAGGTATAGCAATTCGTATCGATGAACCGCCCATGTGTCGCAGAGTATCCCTTTCCCTATCCTACTTACATTGTCATTGTGCTACGAGGCATATCAAAGACAAACCCTGGCCAGACATCAAATCAGTTCTCTCCAGTATACCTTTGGTTGGCGCATGCATCCATGACATGCATACTAATAATACAAGATGCGAGAGTCCTGAGCGATCACAATCGCAATCCAATGTTGACATGAACGGCTTTAACGTTCGTATAGCTGAACCGAGTATTATTAGTGCGGTGTCGTTTTGAAGGACTTGAGCTTACTTTTCCAAAGCATACTCGCTCAGGTCACGACCAATTCCAGACTGCTTGAAGCCTCCAAATGGCATCGATATTTCAGCTTGGTTGGAGCAGTTTATCTGCCAGGCGTCATTACACAACAGACGCGCAAGATGAGATAAGGAAGCAACGAACCCATGCAGTACCTGCTTCAAGAGCGTGTGCAACGCGGATTGCTCTGTCGATATCTTTGGTGAACACCGATGCGGCAAGTCCGTATGATGTATCATTAGCCTGTTCAACGACCTCTGAAAAATTGTTAGGAATACAATGATCGTACAACAAGAGCAATCTCACCATCTTCAGTCTTGAACTTTATGACGCACGCGACGGGACCAAATATCTCCTCTCTGACGATTTTCATGTTGGGCTGGCACTCCGTGAAAATTGTTGGCTCGATGAAGTATCCCTCTTGACCAACTTGCTTGCCGCCAAGGTGTACTGTAGCACCATCGTTCTGGCCGGAGGTTATGTATCCCATGATGCGCTTTATGGTCGTCAAAGTGTGTTTTATAATGACATTGGATAAACGAACCTCAAATTGAGTCTTGGACACTTGTGGCCCTTGGTACGTGTCAGGTGAAAAAGGATCGCCAACCTTGATCGCGCGTGCTTGCTCTGTGAACTGGTCCAAGAACTTGTCGTATATGCCCTCTTGAACAAAGATACGAGAACCTGCAGAACAATTCTGACCGTGGTTATAGCTACAAAAACGATGAGACCTAGCATAAGTCATGCGAACGGGGCAACATACTAGATACCGTGAATAGCCCACTTGACTGCCTGCTCCAGGTCGGCGTCATCGAAGATGACATTGGGGCTCTTTCCGCCAAGCTCAAGGGTGACAGACTTCAGGTTGCTCTTTGCAGCAGCCTCCATAATTTTCCGTCCCGTCAGAGTGCTGCCAGTGAATGCAACTTTCTCGATAAGAGGGTGCTCAGAGATTGCCTGCCCTGCTGTTGAACCATATCCGTTCACGATGTTGATGACACCAGGAGGGAAACCTGCCTGCTCGATCAGGGTACAGAAGAGAAGAGCAGAAAGCGGGGTAATCTCAGAAGGCTTCAGGACGATCGTGTTGCCGGTAGCTAGTGCAGGAGCGACCTTGAGAGAAAGAGAGAACACTAATCAATGTAAGCTGTAGTCCCGCACGCTCCTTGGAATCACTCACTCGGAACATTCCATGGAATAATTTGACCCTAGGCATGAACTGAGATCTCATTTAGATATTATTCAGAGAAGAATCCTTACCACAACACCGATGGGTTCATGTCTGGTATAAGCGAGTTTTTTCTCATTGGTCTAGGGCGAAATGAGTTTGACTGGTGAGAGAGAGAGAGGAAAAACGGACCTCGATAGTCTTCCCGCTGATCTTGTCAGCCCAGCCAGCATAGTATTCCATGACGGCAATCGCCCCTTTATTGTCTTTACCGTAGGCGGTATTGTAAGCCTTCCCTGTAAGGTATGGGCTGCTCCGTTAACTCGAGAGTAGCGGTGACACAGAAGTACGTACCATTAGCAAGGGCATCAAGAGCAGCGAACTCCGCAATATGTTCCTCCATCAAAACGGCGAGCTTCGACATGAGCTTTCCGCGCTGAGTTCCAGGAACTTTCAGGCCCCATGAAGTCTTGTAAGCTTCCTTTGCTGCCTTCGCAGCAATGTCTATATCGGCTTTTGTCCCAGCTGCGATAGACGTGACCACCTTGCCCGTTGCTGCACAAATAAGCTATGAACCATTCGTGACGAAAAAATTCGCACCAGGATTGACAACACTGTACGAATGAGATCGACACTCAAGCGCACGAAGAAGACACTCACTCGATTGTGCCGCCCTCAACAGGGTCGACGAACTCTCCATTTATGTAGAGGCCCAGAGGGATCGTAACAGTCCCCTTGTATGCAGGGGTGTCGAAAGTCTTGGTGAATGTGGACGGCATTACGAGGGAGCTGTGAGGAAGTGCAAACGATAACGGTCAACCTGAGCAAGTTTATACCGGGCTACTTATAGCCTTAGGAGCGATCACGCTGTATAACGGGCACATGAACAACTAGATAGTAGAAATGACAATTCTCATGGGAAGAAGGGACTATACATACCTCTTCCCCGTCACGGTGCTCCGATATTCAGTGTTGCTATGGCAAACCTTCGAGCTGCTGCTAAATTGGCCGTGCGGATGGACTCAAGTTCAAGCCTCATGCACATGGTTTATGTCGCCAATGATCATGGTCGTGCATAAAAAGTGCTAAGTCACTACTCTGCATGTAGGGACTACGTGGGGTTTGTCGGATTTCAATCATGAGGCAAAAGTCAGGATTTGGCCAATCTGGGGCCAAAGTCTAGGGCCAGTTGGGGCTTGGCGGTCTGGGGCCTCGGCGGCCAGAATGTCAGATTGATTGGCCATCTGGAGCACGACGGCAGCCAACGGCACTCTGAACAGAGTTTACACTCCGCTCAATGTTTCGAACGGCCAATGCCGCCAACGCGCTGCTCCGAAACACACAAACATTTGAATATTTAATACATCGACATCGAACCTACAGACCTGCCCATCGCGAGTACTGGCGCTGAAGCTCATCATGAAGTCACTGGTAAGTATGATCGTGACAAGCGCCGGAAACAACCAGTTTGCACCTAGCAGTGCATACTTGGCTACCGTGTTAGATGTCGCAGGCAACCCCCAAGCCGCATATTCCTTATTGCAGACTGGCCCTTCAAAAACACTCGATTGCAACCTGGCGAGACGACTGTCATACTCCCTGTGTACCCTCTGATTTCCTCAGCCCTGGCCTGGTTTCCCGTGGGTCTGGGTACTCGTCTGGTCACCCAGCAATCCAATGATACATTCGTCACAACATGTGGACGAAACAAGGCACTGAAAAGGAATTATTCCAGTTCATCTGGACGTTGCGGAGCGCGGCACGATACTATATAGTGACAAGGCGAGCCGACTATTAGACAGACCATAGGTGTATGGAATGAAGATGGTCGAGACCCATTACTTGGCGTGAATCACTTCCTTTGTTATGATCGATGTACTGTTAATTGTATGGGGGGTAGCAGAACAATGATGCGGTACTATATCCTCCACCACTTCAACTTGTTCTGATTGCCATCATGAAACAGAGAAAGTCATTGTCATTCTTCAAAACCAGCACCACGTATTGTGTTTCAAGACTAAATGTCTTGTACAGGAAATAGGTTCACAAGAGAGTAAGTCACAGGATGTTATCTGACCGATGCAATGTCGAGCGCTGGTCCAAGATGTCTCAATTCAAGCCTTATTCAAACTGAAACCAAAATTCACCAATTTCTACAGCATGCATTGTTACAATCAGCTACTCTCTGATTATAATAATATAGATGGAGCTGGAGAAGCTACCCTACACCGTCTTACACCCCAAGATATCAGTTTTACCATGGTTGCATTGGCTGGCATCCCGATGGATGCCGCTGCCATCATGTCATCAGTGCTGGAAGGCATTTTATACGGTATGTATCACAATGAGTTTTCGCGTCCATAGCCAAGTAGCCGACTCGCTAACGTTCTTCAGGATTCTCAGTGCTCATGTGTCTGGGTACCATCTGGACATTCACCTATAAGCGACACGTGCAGGACGTCAATCGGCCAATCGCTGTGGTTGCCACCCTGCTGTTCGTGCTGAGCACTGCGGTTAGCTTCTTTCCGCATGCATCCAATACCATCTACTGAAAGCTCAAAAGCATATAGTCGTGGATATTATTCATCTCGAACATGGACTGGTGAAGTATCGGGACACGTTCCCCGGCGGACCAGTGGCGTTCTTTGCGGACGTCACTCAAGTTACATTTGTAATCAAGAATGCGATATATACCTTGCAAACTCTACTTGGCGACGGGGTGGTGGTGCGTCAAATCTTCTCAGACCTTCTTCTGCTTACAGAATCTGTCTTTCGGGGAAAAGATTTATCGATGTTACGTGGTCTGGCAATCTGCCTGGGTCATTGCCATACCGTGCATGATGTGGTGCGGCGTTGCAGGTTAGGTCGTAATCGCACTCAGGAAGTCGTGTACTCTGACGTTGTCTCAAAGCATCTGGCGTTTGTTCGGTCTACTACTTTTCTCAAGCATCGATGGCCGAAGTTGAAAATTTCTTCGCTGCCAAGATTGGTCATTGGGTCGCCGCTTTCCTTTCCTCCACACTTGCAACTAATATGTTGAGTACCGGTGAGCACACTTCCGCGTAAATGCGATGTTGATACCCAATACCAACCTGAATTTATCCAGGGTTACTGGCATATCGCATCTGGACGATCGAGCGCAAGGTTTCTGCAGTCTGCACTATGAAGCGGAAGGTACCTATATTGCGCGTGCTTATAGATGCTGCAGTTTTGTACTCTGCGGCACTTGGCTCCTCAATAATATGTTTTGGCCTCTGGAACGATGGACTCTATGTGATGGGAGACCTGGTAATTTGGCTGTTGAAACCTGCCATCGCAAATCACTGATTTTTATCAACCAGATCGTTCCGATCATCTCAATTACTTTCTATATGATATTTATCCGCGTCGCGACCAGTCAAAGCAATCAACATTACCCCTCGGCTGCCCATAGAGAAACCACCGAGACAGAACGAAGAAAACTACAGCAACATCCTTTGCAGCCGTTGATACACAGGCCGAATGATTCCAAATTTTCCTTGGGTGATAGTAGTAGCTCGAAAGTAGAGACACATCCATTAACATAGTCATCCAACTACGTATACTTTTATACAGATACCCTCCCACTTATAATTATATGACAACTTAATTCGATCAACCTTCAGGGGTCAGTTGAGAGTATTAAAGTGGCTCCCATAGTTCGAAAACTGTCGCATGGGCACCCTTCTTTGAGAGCAGTTGAATGACTTACCACAACATCATGACGGACGGTGCTCCGAAGCAACACACGACTGATCCAGAGCTTTGAGCCAATTTCCGTGGCATCAGATCTTCGATGAGTAGCTGAAGAGCAATTAGACCGCAAGTTTATAACACCTATTACCGCAGATAATCTATCTCGAACACTATTCGGACAAGTAGAAAATAAAGTACAATAAGATATTTTGGCGTTCCTCGTGAGGTTTAGAGTGACGTAGCCACCATCCGAAACAAGAGAGTACGAAAGGGATTTAAATCAGGCTGTATGAATTGCTATTTTAGCCGGGAGGATGTGCTATTCTCCCTGAATACAGTCTGCAAAGTCTGCATAGCACAATGCAGCGGGATTCCTCGGTCTGTTTCAACTGTCCCAGAAAAAGTCGAGACGAATTTTTGAGTATCTTCATTGATTGCGATGCGAATAAACACCATGTAGAACGAAATAGAGATGGTCGGACTGATCTAGTTGATTGACGTTCAATGAAACTTATATCAAGTGTTGATAGTGGACGCTTACCAAGAAGTTTCCTATGACATATGTGCCATTGTTCGAAAGGGCAAAACATACCATCGCAGACAAGTTGATCGCAGAGTATAAAACAGCAGCATCCACAAGCACCCGCACGATAGGCCTTATACCTCTCCTGGTGTGAACTGTAGAGATATTCCGTTCGATCGTCCAAATCCGGTATGCCAGCAATCCTGCACATATTCAAGTTCGCAAGTGTCTCGATATCGCGCTTACGCAGGAATATACTTACCTGAACTGGACAAATTAGTTGTAAAAGTCAAGATAATAAACGCCGTGACCCAATGTCCAGCCTGGTCAGTGAAGACACTGTCGGCATCACTAGCCAGTGAAAGGTCGTAGACTGTAAAACCCCCGCACACTTCGAAACAAATGAACGTCAGAGCACGCACATTTTGAGTATAATGGCAACCAAACCTGCAACTGCACACCACACCATGCATGGTAGAATCACAACCCGGACAGATTGCCAAACGACGTAACATCGATAAACCTTTTTGTCAGAAAGGGAATTTATATAAGCTATGAGGGTTTCAAGTTGGCAGGTGAAGTGATGATCCTACCACTACCCCGTCGGCAAGCAGAGTTTGCATGAGACTCAACGCAGCCTTGACCACATACATCTCCTGGGTATAGTCTGCGAAGAATGCCGCTGGGCCGCCTGGGAATGTGTTACGATACTTCACCAATCCATCTTCGAGCTGAATAATGTCTATGACAATGTGCTTGGAAGTCTTCAGTAGATGGTATCAGATTCAAGTGACGAAGACCTGACCATAGTACTCAGTAAAAACAGAAAGACGGCAACCGCAGCGATTGGCCGGTTGACGTCCCTCGTGCGTTTTTTATAGGTGAATATCCAGATGGTACCTATAAACATGAGAACTGAAAAGCCTGAAAGATGCTAGTTTGGTGGGCATGAAACGAACACAATCGTTGCAACTCGCCATATAAGATGCCTTCTAGAACTGTTGACATGATGGCAGCGGCATCCAGCGGCATGCCAGTGTCTGTTGAAGCCATGGCGAAAATGATACCTTGGGTATGTACGACGGTGCGGGTAGCATCGCTAGCCACCTACTTTATATAATGCTACGAGTCGCTATAGATATCAGGCCATCAGGTAGGCTATGTTCTCGGAACCTTCAAGTTGACATGATCATGATAGATGGCGCAGTGATGGGCTGGTCGTGGATGACGGCATAACCGTAGAAATCAGAAGTCGCCAGTGTATCACTATGGATAGTTCTTATCTCTCGCAAGCTCAAACCCCAGAGCAAGTGAATTGAAGTCCTTGGAAAATGCAAAACTGAGGCGAGATGAGATATATTTAGCCACCTGTAATGTTGGTCAAAGTACGAGTAGCCGCCAGCTCGGTATCAATTGTATCCATCCCATCATGCTGTGTTGCTCATTTGTAATGCTTTTGACCTCCAAGTTGCTCTTCCGTTTTGTTTCAAGACACTATCAGCCATATATACATGGATAACATATACTCTTTCCAGCACGCCGTACGGTAGAACACTGACGCAAGCTCACATCCTGTTACCACTTCTCATTGCTCCTTTTTCGTTCTTTCGTTCCAGTGCTACTAGTATATGGCGACCACCTGTACTAGCCTGTACTTTTCATGAATTGGTCGCTATCCAAAACAGATCTTCATGACAATACGACAATAACGGCTACATTGTTCTACCTGGTGGTGACTTAACAGTAGCATTTGGAGCGATCTAACGCGGCCCATGATGCTCGCACTGTGAATCCCATGATTGGTTCTGCAGTGACCGATGATGGCCTTCACCTCTACATGCAAACGATATTCGCTGTCCTCCTGTTACCCACTGTTGTCTCACCCAAGTTGCCCATGCTGTTTTCACAGGAACCAATAGAACCTCTCGGCGACGGCAATCGTACGTTGCCTCTATTCTGATCGTGGCTGTGAAACAGACATTGACAAAGCTCTCACTTTTCCTTTCCCGGCGCACATACTGGCCAACGGGCTCACGCTTGCCTCGAACGCGCTTTCTTTTCTCCACAAAGCCCAAGAACCACTGTATTCCACGAATCACATTTTATTTTCATTCTTACTACTCCTGTTGGACAGTGAAACGCAAACAGATTCCTTTGCGACTACTCTTGAATCTCAAAGGCTGCCAAGGTCTCACTCTCGCGCACAATTCTCGATTTCAGAACAGATCCTTTTGCTCATTGCAAGTCAACTATATGTCCCGTGTCAAAAGCCATCGAGTTCCAAGAGGAGACGAAGAACATCGGTGCAAATACTAATAGCGTAAAAAATCTGCCTTTGTAATAAAGCAATGGTCACCGCTTGTATGTTTATAATCCAAGCTTCGATGACTGGATTGAGAGGGAAAATGATTGAAAAACAGTATTTACAAACTCACCGCCTCAGAATGATAGGATTGAGCTGATATCATGGTCATATTTTTACAGACATTGTGATGCTGGAACGACAATACACTGTCGTTCATTTCGATAGCATCTAGTCGTGTGGGGGTGCGTCGGTGGGAGCCTTCTGTACAGTCACAAGCCAGTCCTGGCGGTCATGCTCAGGTTTGACAAATAATAGGGCACAAGGACGCAATAATTTTTCTCAGTTTCTCAGTTTTGTTCCAAAATCAGTTTGATCAATACCGTCAACATGGAATCTACTTAGCACTCAGAATATGTGCCATTGTTCGAAAGGGCCAAATATATTATTGCGGAGAGGGTGGTTGCAGAGTATAAAACAGCAGCATCCACAAGCACGCACACAATAGGCCTTATACCTCTTCTGATGCGAATTGTAAAGACATTCCATCGTTCCAAAATTTGTCGCATGAGCACCCTTCTTTGCGAGCAGTTGAATGACTTACCACAACATCACGACGAATAGTACTCCGAAGCAGCACACTTGCTGATTCAGAGCTCTGAGCCAATTTCCGACCGCAAAGTTGATAACACCTGTTTCCGCAGATAAAGTACAGTGAGATATTTTGACATTCTTCACGGGGCCTAGAGTGACGTAGCCACCATCCGAAACAAGAAAATACGACAGGAATTTATATCAGACTGGATGGATGGATCCCTATTTTAGCCAGGAGGATGTATCATTATCACTGCGTGCAGTCCGCAAAGTCTGCATATGATAATGCAGCGGGATTCCTCGGTCTGTTTCAACTGTCCCAGAAAAAGTCGAGACGAATTTTTGAGTATCTTCATTGATTGCGATGCGAATAAACACCATGTGGAAGGAAATCGAGATGATCGGATTGATCTAGTTGACGGAAGCTCAATGATTCTCATTCAAGTATTGGTGGTGGACGCTTACCAAGAAGTTTCCCATGGCATATGCGCCATTGTTCGAAAGGGCAAAACATATTATCGCGGAAAAGGTGGTCGCAGAGTATAAAACAGCAGCATCCACGAGCACCCTCACGATAGGCCTTATACCTCTCCTGGTGTGAACTGTAGAGATATTCCGTTCGATCGTCCAAATCCGGTACACCAGTAATCCTGCACATATAAGTCGTAAGTGTCTCTATATCGCGCTTACGCAGGAATGTACTTACCTGAGCTGAACAAATTGGTTGTAAAAGTGAAGATAATGAACGCCGTGACCCAATGTCCAGCCTGGTCAGTGAAGACACTGTCGGCATCACTAGCCAGTGAAAGGTCGTAGACTGTAAAACCCCCGCACACTTCGAAACGAATGAACGTCATGTTGAGAGCCGAAGAACCCGAGGACGGAAAGGCCGATAGAGGAGGATATGGGACTACGGCCGAAGAGTAAGGCAGCTCGAGGTGCGAGCGCCACCAAACGGAGATTCCAGACGACGTGTCAACGTCGGCTATCTTTTTTCATTCCTTTAGTATATGTTTTCATCAAAAGGCCAGCTGGCGCACTCACCATATAAAAGCAGCCATCCACCATCGAAACATCTCAGATTCGTAATCCGAATACTGAGATGTAAGTCTTCTAATGTAACGTTTGAGTACAAGTACTAACGTATACCGTAGCTTACCTGTCTAGGTAAAAACACTTGTCAATAAAGAGATTCGTAATCCGAATACTGAGATCTTACCTGTCTAGCCTCACGTGAACGCCCTGCTATACTCTCAATACGTCAGAACACGCACATTTTGAGTATGATGGCAACCAAACCTGCAACTGCACACCACACCATGCATGGTAGAATCACAACCCGGACAGATTGCCAAACGACGTAACATCAATAAACCTTTTTGTCAGAGAGGGAATTTCTATAAGCTATGAGGGTTTCAAGTTGGCAGGTGAAGTGATGATCCTACCACTATCCCGTCGGCAAGCAGAGTTTGCACGAGAATCACCGCAGTCTTGGCCACATACGTCTCCTGGGTATAGTCTGCGAAGAATGCCGCTGGGCCGCCTGGGAATGTGTTACGATACTTCACCAATCCATCTTCGAGCTGAATAATGTCTATGACAATGTGCTTGGAAGTCTTCAGTAGATGGTATCAGATTCAAGTGACGAAGACCTGACCATAGTACTCAGTAAAAACAGAAAGACGGCAACCGCAGCGATTGGCCGGTTGACGTCCCTCGTGCGTTTTTTATAGGTGAATGTCCAGATGGTACCTATAAACATGAGAACTGAAAAGCCTGAAAGATGCTAGTTTGGTGAGCATGAAACGGATACAATCGATGCAACTCGCCATATCATCAGCGAATTCATGAGTTCACGATATTGTAGCCATGGTGACTATAGAAATATACAATTCTGCTTCTGCCAAATATATCTATTTATACGCCAATAATTTTGACTTGCTAGTACATATGTATGGATGAATGCAAATCTATGCTACACTGAGGAATTGGTGACAACATTGGGACATTGGGACATCCCCACCAGCAAGGGACTACGGAGGAATTGTGTCCAAGTTGTTAAACATGTTCACCTACTGTAAATTAATTCTTCAATGACAAACCTATTTATGACTTTATCATGGAAAGTAGCGCTAGCAGTGAACATCAAATATATATTAACGTTGGAGTCTGCGACAATGTTATGACATTGTACAATTACGACGTAAAAGTGAATGGTGGGCAATTGTTCCTAATTTGTCAAGCATCTGCGTTTTCCGTCGTGTGTGTTTTGCATTACCTGACAAAGGATACATATGTAATATGCATAATATTGCTACAGTACTGGAACACAATATAAAATTCTCAATGCAAAATGACTTTCGCACTGGTCAACAAATTTAGAGCAGTTCTCAATGAAGGCATGGCAGCCGGTCTTCACAACATCGCGGGGATTTTCTCTTTAATCCAAGCAAGGTCTTTTTGATACTTCAGAAGTTCACCGCGACAGCAAAGACGGGAAACACAATTGAATACCCTCCTGCTAGATTGATCAGAATCGTGTCCATAAGTACTATATACAGGATGTAAAAGCTGATCGTCTAAAAGTTGATCGTCGTCCTACAGTGTGTTCCGTCATCCTCAGAGATATCATTCGAGATCCCCCTCACTCGGAAGATTGCATATCACCTCGCACAGGAAATGATTGAGAGCATTTCATGAAGGGCGTTTCTGGTCGAGCTTCATAATTAAGAACAGGAAAAAGTGGAGATACGTACCAGTGATGGAATCATCTTTAATCTCGCCATAGACTATGGCGTCTCCGACAGACACAAAGCTGGATTCGGAAAGCACGACAGTAGCCTTGATCACCGGATCAACTGCGCCGCGCTCAGTAAGATTATCAATGGCCTCGCGAATGCCAACATTCTTTGCCTCGAGGATCTCGCAGGAAACCACTAGGAACAAAGTTAATAAAATATGGACATTTGTATGTAGGGAACACGCACGACATGACTTCATTGGGATAGTTCAGTATCACTGAAAAATCATCTTTATGCTTGAACGTTAAGAGCCTTTTTTGCACCATGCCTCGACCTAGCAGGTAAGACTGTCGTGCGAATCGTTCGCATGCCTGAATTAGACGCGAGGTACGACGCCTGGATGTCATGCATGAGGACATCAGTTACACGAATGTCCTTGGTCCTGAATTGATGAAAGAGGGAAGCTCCATAAACCAACGCGATTGCTGTCCGTGTCGAAAACCTGTAATTCCATCAATATCCAGACTATATAGCCACCTCGTGATTCGACAACTCACAGCATAGTACTTCTCCATGAACTTTTGTCCGATAATGAAGTCTAGCCCTTCGCCGCTGTTAGTCCCTAAGTACGAGACAATGCCGTACTGCGTGTTTGCTGACAAGCCCCATGCGGTGTTCTGGTCAATCGGAATGAGTTGTGCTGCAGCGTCGAGACTAAAGACGGTGCCGCCGATAGTAAAGTTCAATGGTTCGATTTTCAAGACAGAGTTTTCAGGGACGGTCATGAGGCCCGTGCTCTCGTCAATCCTGGCACCAGGGATGGCACGCATGTAGGACTCAAAGAAGTTATCAGCGAGGAGGACCACTAGAGATGTGTGAGAAAGTATGCATGCGGATGGGTGGTAAAGCCTTACGAGTGGTACCAGTATCGACAATTCCGGCGGTTGACGTTGGGATTACGGTCGTTGTGGAGCCGTACGTCGCATCGGTGACATTGACACCCCAGTAATAGCCAGCAGGATAAGTTGCGGTGACCGGCGTATAAGTGATTTTGCCGGTGTACTGGATAACTCAGAACCATTGTTTGGGACATACTTATTGGGCTCACCAAAGAAGAATCGATGCCTCCATAAGTGAGGGCTTCATCTGCGCGCAAGTTAGATCACCTTTAATTATACCACACAAGCTCTCTCACTCGTGTCATTGTAACTCGTTGCGGGTGCGAAAGAGACACCTAATATTTCCTCTGTGATCAAACCCTGCGAGAGGGCGTTGTTCATCACAGTGGGAATCAGCTCGTCGGTACTTGGTGAGAGTGTGCCCTCAGTCAGAATGACGGGGCCCACTCCGACGATGCCGTCGACGCCCTCGAAGTCGGCATAGGAAAGAGCATCACCGATGGACTGGTTAGTGATGGCAAAACCTGGAGCAAGCGTCACCTGGTCGAAATCTGAAGGACAAATTTTTAGATGTTACTATTCCCAAGCAGCCCAAAGACCTACACTCCAAGCCAGAAAAGTAACCACTGCCGTAAGTGACGTTGACGTCTTCACCAGTGAATATACTGGTCGAGGTCCGGACATATGGTATCCCAGTTCTTGAGATGAAATGAGATTTGGCCCGAGGGAATAAGCAATCAGGTCTTACCCGACAAAAGTATTGGAGCTACCAGTGTCGACAACTAAATTGTAGTATGTCGGAGGGCTGCCCACGCCAACACTGGTTGTGTACTGGACATACGCGAGGTTAGATGCAGGGACGGTTGTGGAACCACCAGAAGCGAAACTCTTAAGAAATGCAGCACGTGCACGATCAGCATCAGGCAGTCCGGCAAGGTATGAGTTAGTTGGCGCAAGCTTCGTCAGGGGGATCCTAAAGAAACTTGAAGCCGATACAGAGGTCACGGTGATGAGGAGAACTGCGCGAAGCAGGGCTGAGAATGACTGCATGTTGAACAAAAGAGCGGGAACCTTGTCAATGCACCATGAATGACCCCAAGAGGCTTATATGGGTCGGGGCGGCCACAGTACTGACAGGGCTCGCCTGGAGAAACACATGGAAGTTTAAAGCGTCATATGAATCGACGCAAATAAATTGGAAGACATGTGACAGTTTTGCAGCATGTTCAGATTTGACAGCTGAAGCGCTGACATTTGAACGAATCAACCATACTAGGTAAGCACGCGATCAGTAATTCATGAGCAGTAATAATGCGAGATTGCTCAGCTTCGTAGAGTAGTTGTACTACACAAAACCCTTGTGGTCACCTGTCATCAACCGGACTCGTCGTTAGTAATTGCACCTACCATCAGAGAACCTGTGAGAAGAAGATATCGTCATATATCGTTATATATCGTAATATATAGGAAAGGTTTTCGTCACATTGTAATATAAAGTGATATAAAGCAATATATGACCATGTAAAAGCACCATAATCAGCATAATCCCCAGCAAGAAATCACCGGTTTACTGATGACTGATGCGTGATGATGTCAGAACAGATAACCCGGAACCTGCCGGCAAAACACACCCAGACGTGTTCCAGACTTTGCCCAGACGTGTCCCCTAGACTTTGAGGCGGAGTCTGCGCAGACTTAACAGAGACCGGCCATGCCCTCCTCGTATGAACCTGAATCATCCGGAAAATGCCGGAGACAGTTTAAATATATCGCTATCCAAATTGGGACAGTCCTCCTGGACAGAATCATTCCGCAACGAAAGTATGTATTCATTCGCATTCGATTCAATCTTTCATATACAAACTCTCTCTAGTACTACTATGAACGATAACAACAACGCTAATGGAGCCGGAAATCACAATCATGAGGTGCGTCGATGATGTTCTGACATCGGCTACTCACCAATACTAATCGATAATCAACAGATTCCTCGATACCTTCTTCAACATGCGCCGAGGCCTCGGGAGGTTAGTTTCACGTTGACGGAAAGGCAACAGGTAAGTGATCTATTCATTTTGCAGCTACCATAGTGACATCGTTTAGGAATCGATGTACGTCGTTTGGGCTGCCGTGCGAGGTCGCTGTAGAAACTACAATACAATGAGGAACAAAAGAAGCTCCTGACTGTATCTGTAAAAGTTGTAAGGTCGCGCGCTGCCTAGTCTGTGTTACTTGAGAAGCAAGTGCGTTCGACCCTATAGGGGAAGTGAGTGCAGCAAGGATCTAGAAGTGTGCGCTTAAGCGAAGCGCGAGAAAGCGCAGGAGCGCGCAAGGTACAAAGGCGCGGGAACGCGCGCGCGTATTAGCGCGAAGCGCAGGAAAGTGCGCGCGCGTATGCGGAAATGAGAAACTAAGCTTAAGTAGTGATATAAAGCAAGATAAGAGATATAAGAGTGCAAAATGTAAAGGAATAGCTTTCTACTATATTCTGCTAAGTAGTAAGTGGGTAGTAACTAGTAAGTGAAAGGGAAAAAGTAGTTCCCGTGTAGTATGTACTGCTGGCGCTTATATAGCGCGCCTAAGCGCGGTCATGCGGAGCCGAAGCGCTACCGAGTAGGTATGTAAGGATATATATGAGTGAGAAACTATGATAAAAATAAAGGTGGAACTATGCTAATAAAGGAAATGGAAATATACGTACTAGGAAGCTTGGTGGACAGTGGATGGATGCATCTGAATGGCTGGCGCTATAGGGCGCGCAAGCGCAGGAACGCGCGCGCGCGTATACATCGCGAAGCGCGGGAATGGTGCGCGCATGGCGCGCGTTGCGTGGGAAAGCTGCGCGTCATATAGAGATAGCTGTGGGTAGCGCACAGAATGACGCTGCGAGTTTGTGCTGTATACTTCCTAGTGAAACCTGCCATATCACACCATGAGACACACGAGTCTCTACATCGCGTGCGCCAGCAAGTTTATTATCCGGGGTTGCCGTTCCCTCCCTATCCGTTACCACCGGTCTGGCCAGATGACGTACGGGCCATGATGGTCCTATGGGTGGCAAGGGAGCGCCGGATGTTCGAACTAGAGATGACCGAGCTGGAGTACATCCTAGGCCTCAGGGCTCGCGCGCATTAAGTACTTACAGGTAAGCCGTTTTCAAAATAAATAAAATCCGAATTGACTTACGAATTTTCAGACTGGACGAAGAGATCGTTGAAGAGTCTAGGAGATCGAAAGATTTAGCGGCTGGATAGATTGGCGATATGAGATGTACTTACACTGAATTTCCGATGCAAACTGTACGATATTTTTCAAGCGAACGTTGATAGTCTGAGGGCTCTTCGACGACGGACTTCTTGTAGCGCGGTGGAAATCGCTTGTTTGTTTGAACTCGCTTCTCTCCAAGCCTCACTAACTTGCCTGAAAAGACATCAATCAAGACGGAAACTTGGGATCAATGACTGGGTACATACCTCACACGCCGTATAAATACGACACTAAGCACAACGCTCTTTATCGAGCGTGTCTTCTTCATCATTGCTGGTGGGTTTTTCGGTTTGAGATATCCTATCCAGGATATACAGGCCAGTATACGCTTCTCACTGTCGAAGAAGATAAACGTACAGCATAGTGATGGAGAAAATGCCCGTACCTGGCTTCAAAGTTCGAGAGGAGAACAAGAAGATAATGTTTCTGGTATACGAGATCATCTCGCAAGGTAGACTCGCGGGTAAACTTTGCCTTGAGGTACCGAATCTGGACGACAAGGCCTTTGCACTCCTCCTTGTGCTGTTTTTTCAGCTCGACGAGCTGGTAGCCATCGCTAATTTTTTTGTTCAGCATCAAGATACAGCACGAAAGTACGACAGTCGTCACCCACGTAGCAAATCCATAATCCTTGATCTTGAGCTTCTCCTGGGCTGTCTTTAGCTTCGTATGCTGGCCGTTGAGCTGCTCATTCAGGAGACATATCTGAGTCTGGGCCTGCTTTTTGGCTCGCTCAGCTTTCGTCAATTCATTCCTGTGTTTTTCCTGCAGCTTCTCTTTCTCTGTTCGCAGAGTTTTAAGATCACGTCCAAACGCCTCGGCATCTCGCTTGACACGTCTAAGGTCGGATTCAAGGGCTGCAACAGTGCGTGCAACATCGGTCTTCTCAATGGCCATGCGGTTTTTCTCCTCCTCGCTACGCTGTAATTCGTCGGCTTGATTGGAGAGCGCACGCCTGAGGTCATCAATTTCACCGAGATGCGAATCGAGTTGATGACGGCGGTTGTCGTGTGATGACTGTGACCTTGCATAGTCATTGCGAAGCTTGTTGACTCGCTGTTCAAATGTCGGCGCAATCCAATATTGTTACAGGAAGAAACACTCACTTCTGATACTTCAGTGAACTGTCGCTGAAGCTCCTTGTGGTCCTTTGCAAGAAGAGACCGCTCTTGCCGCAGCTAATCGATTGTCTCTGCATTTTATTTGACTTTGCCTTCTAGGAGACGAGCTTGCTGTTCGATGGTTGCGTTGGCTGTACTTGCCAATCAGAAGTGATAATTTAGAGATGGCACTGTACGCACTTCGCAATTCGGTCTCTAGTTCATTATTTTTGCGCTTGGCTTTCTGGAGCTGTCTCTTGACATCATCGATATCCTGATAACTTATAGGTTAAAATGCTTCTGGTTATAGTCAAGGGACGTACCACCTCAGTTCGTTGTAGTTGACGAGCCACAGCACTCTTCTCACGCTGGACGTGGTTCTGCTCCAAGGACATCTGTCTGAGACGCGTCCTCTCTGCCTGCAGCTCAGCCTCGAGGTCAGCAATGATAGCCTTCGCCCTCTCGACTTCCTGAGTATCAGCTCTCTATCGTCGGCTAGCTTCAGTCGCTCTCTTCGCTTCTTCCTTTGCGCTTCATACTTCCATGTTCGTTGCATTAGTAGCTGGTGATACTATATAATGGCGGGGTACATACTAGTCCCAAACATCGAATTGGCTTGATTCAAAACTTCATTGAGGTAGGCGTCCCTGCATTCGTCCGTTTCGTTGTGCGGCCAAACAACTGTCGTTAACAGATCCATCACCAGGCGCTTCCGCGCCCATTTGACGGCCGGACGTTCATCCTGGGGCAGATCACTTAGGGCCAATTTTTTCATCTTTTTCTGGCCTCCGCAGTTGTCTGAGACAAACCTTCCAGATCCAATTGAAGGTGAGTTATGCTGCATGGCGCCACTCGTGCTGCCAGTGCGAGTGCAAGGCTGCAAGCGGTGCGATAAACGTTCTGAACATGTCAATCGCCGATCTGATAGAACTATTGGGCTAGATGTTAAGTTAGTGAGATCACACATGTTGGTCTTGATTTAGTTTGCGTACAGAAGGATTATATCGCATGGTGCGCGTAACGCCCAAAGTGCTCAGCAAGCGTTCTGGGACTGAGTATGAAAGGAGCCCATCATAGAGTCATCTGATAACGGAATACCAGAATCACGAATTTGAACATGGAGTATCGAACCAAAGATGCAGCTGTACTGTGTCTGATGGTAGGATTTCAGCAAAGGGATCGAGTACGTTCGAAAGACATACGTCAGCTGCAACAGACCCGAATCTGAACAAGCGCAATGCAGGATTTCCAGAGGAGATGAATCAAGGATTCCTGTCGCCTGGCACCTGGCACTGATTCAAGCTGTATAGTGAAAACAGGTGTCTGTAAGCAGACATCAATGCTAAAATCAGGGTACAGTCAACAGAAGAGCCGACCGGTCTTGGTCCAAGTCCTGGTTCCTTCATGAGTTGTACTATGTATCGCCCGTGAGCCTCAGTACGCAAGTTACGAATCTTCTCATCAAGTGAACACTGCGAAAAAATGCTTGTATAGATGAATGAAAAATCAGTGAGGAAGAAGGGCCAGATCTTCATCATGTGGGCGCTTACCTTGGTCAAGTCGACGCCCTCTGGTTTCACTGTCAAAATCGCCACAGTCCTAAGGCCTTCCTCCAGGTTCATCAACGCCTAACATGAAAAACGATGTAGGAGACACAGGGTCGAAAAACGAGTAACTTCATTTGCATGACTTGAGATGGCGTGATTGTAGAAGTTTGGCTAGTATACCCGATACGGGGCCACTCTGTGATTGGTTGTCAGATCTGGCCAGTCGCTACAAAGAAGTTCTAAACGAAAGAAAGCCTATTCAGAAGCTTTACCTCCGGGAAACTCTAACACCAATCACGAGAAAATACAACGAGTGCTTTGCATGAATCCTTCAAGTTAGTTAAGTTTTAACATCACTACAAGATGTTACACAATCTGTCGTAGGGAATCTAAAAAGATAGGTCATCGTTATCATCATCGTCCACATCCCCTTCGCCGTCGTCTGAGTCTCCGTCTTCCATTTCGTCGTCACTAATCTCTTCATCACTCTCCTCTTCTGTATCGCCGTATCCTGCGTAACCTTCTTCGTCACTGTTACTTTCGTGGTCCCTATCTGCTTCGTTGCTGTTGGTAGCGCCTCGTGACTCGAACCCGAGACAATCTTTGACCATGTTGCGCAGCACGGCCGGATGGCCAACACCAAGGTGAGTATACCGCATAAACATATCCCGATCTACAAATCTGTCCCGAAGATTAAGAATCAACGGATCACAGGAGTAGATGTATTTGCTCACATGCTAACACAGAAAACTTCCCAATCATCTAACTCCCCTTCAGGACGCGCCAACGATCGTCCATGGCGAAGAGAGCTGACACCACGACCTGAAGCAAAGGCAGGAATCAAATGCGCACCTCGAATCACCTGCCCTGGATCAAGAAAACCGAATGCATCTGGGTCCCACTCATCCACAAAGGCAACCTTGGGAAGACGTGCGTGTTTCGTGCCGGATTTATGGTTTCGTACAGGGGCCAGCCATCTGACCCACAGAACCTCGAGCTGCTGCTTCACAGGTTTGCCCCCGTCATTGAGCCAGGTTTCCATATGAAAAATACCTAAAACACGAGCATACCAATACGGGTGCGTCGGTGTTGTCTCGCCTGAAAGCACCATGACGTCGGGATGTGTCCCAGGGTTGATGGTGTCGTACTCACGCCTCATGTCATACGTGGTGTAATGCACTTGCATGGTGTGGACGGAGTAGATAGTGTCATTAGGAATGATTACTGAGTTATGCTCTTCATCTGTGAAGGTATGGTCGCAAAAGCTGATGTCTAACTTGCGCAGCCTGTAAAGGACATGGTCCTTTATTTTCGGTATGAATCTCTGGAAACCTTCATAAGTATGTGTTTGAAATATCACGACTCCACTTCTACCTTGAGAGCTGGGTCATCATCATGCTCTCGGAGGAGCGTGAATAGAGCGACTGGATTGTTTCGACAGCATGCAATATGATGATGCTTGCCGGGGGAGGAGGGATCAACCGGTGATTGACTGATGGACGGGGATATGCCCGACGCCTCTGCCACCCGTCGAAGTACACGGCGCCTGCGTTCGTGTTTACTTAGCTGTGCTGGAGTGTCTAGTTTGTTGGTCAGTGGGTAGAATGCCTTAAGGGCTCGGTGTGCAAGCTCGCCCTGTACGAAGGTTTCAGATGTATAATAGAAGAAATATCGTTGATACGCACAATCTGTGTAGTAAACGAATCAGTGGTCCCAAAAAACCTAATACTCCCCACATAGTCTCCCATGGCGTGAAACTTATAAGTATTCAAATTGAACTTTTTTACCCTGGGCCCTGCGGATTCCGGGGAGACATCGTGACTTTCAGAACACTGAGCAACCCTTCTTTGACGAGCCGCTTTCTCTTTTGGTAACTCCCGAGTATCAAAGGCAGCGCAAGTATCGGTCCGAAACTTTCGCAACTTCTGGGAGAGTTTGTTGAACGTTTCTTGCAGAAAAGCCAAGGTAGATTCTGAGTGAAGTCTAAGTTTAGCAAGAGCATGCCACTCTGCAAACCGATATAGCAGAGACTGCACGGTTGCGTCGTGGTCGGGAGGGAAAAGTCCTTCAAAAACTGGGATAGCGCACTGTAGGGAATGTCAACAAGCCTACGTAAAAATTTGATGCAAATTGACCTGTAAGATGTCTTCAAAATCACGGGCTGCCAATTTCTTCATCTCAGAAGTATTGTTTGCAAATTTGCGAATCGCACCGCCGCCGTATGTCGGGACTTGGCGAAATCTAACATAGGATCGAGAAGTATGAAACTTGTTAGCGTGTGATGATAACCTATATTGAACTCCGTATACCTTTCGTCGAGGGTCGCGACAAGTCGAATACCCTCAGGGAGGGCATAAAGAAGCCTTATTAGGTGTGTAAAGAGCGCCTTCCAGGTACCCAATTCGCACTCATGCATCAGGTCGACGACGAGCATGCGAAATGGGTCAAGGCCTAGTGCGCTCAGCTTCGCGACGAATTGATTCTGCTCGGAATAGTTTTAGCAGATCATATTCAACAGGTTGTACTTACCAGGATAGGTACCCACGACCCTTCTCCAAGGGTGTCTTCGACCTTTGCACCGTCGACCGTATTTCCTAATGCATAGATGAACTCACGAGCCTTGACGACCTTAGCCGTTACATAGACTCGGAGGTTGGTTATGCGGGATTTCATGTCCTTCACGAGTCCAAGGTAACTAAATAAGCCTTTCGGCATGAGGCAGCGAGGGCATGGGCACGAGCCCATGTCCTTGATTGTTGCGATTAAAGCCCTGGAAATGTATGAGCTATCACATATTTTTAACGAGCACAACAGAAAATGCACTTCTCTGGATAGTCCGCTGAATAGGTGAATATCCGAGGATATACTCTTCGCATTACTCCGTCGGCACATTTCGTAACAATTCCGTGTCGATACGCATAAAGAAATTCTGTATCCAGTAAAATTTCCCAGCACGCATGGAACAGTTCCCTGCGGCAGTGTGTGCGAAGGGAGGCCATGCCGGTTTTTGATACTCTAGGTAGGCTACATATAATATCTTTAATGTGATCGGGAAGCTGGTCACTCAGATAATCCATATTAGCGGTGGTTATTGAACATTCAATTAGGTGGGCTCACCAAAGGCAAAAAACCTACAAGGTGGCACGATCCCGATGTTGGTGACGAGCGCAGGTATTTCGTGAGATTTCCGAAGTAGGCATACACCGGCCAAGCCTTTGCAGTTCCGAAGTTCGCCAAGTGAGTGGCGTCGGAAAACAACATCAAACCTGCTATCACACGTTCCAAGGAACATCCGGGATCCTTTGGCAATTTTTGAAGATCATCCTGAGCTTCCAGCCAAGCGTCAGAAGTGTAGAGTTCGTCGTACATCCGTTCTTGATGACCATCTAGAGGATCCTTCCACAGGCACTTGAAGGGCAAAAGATGGAATGCCCTTGCCTGAGCATCCGCAAATGCGGCGCGTTGTAGAGACTCGTGCATCTCATAGTGTGATATGGCGCTTTACACTAGGGAGTATACAGCACCAACTCGCAGCATCACTCTGTGTACCGTCCACAGTGATTCCTATATGACGCGCAGCTTTCCCGCGCAACGCGCGCCATGCGCGCACCATTCCCACGCTTCACGATGTATACGCGCGCGCGCGTTCCCGCGCTTGCGCGCCCTATAGCGCCAGCCATCCAGATGCATCCATCCACTGTCCACCAAGCTCCCTAGTGCGTATATTTCCATTTCCTTTATTAGCATAGTTCCACCTTTATTTTTATCATAGTTTCTCACTCATATATATTTTTACATACCTACTCGGTAGCGCTTCGGCTCCGCATGAGCGCGCTTAGGCGCGCTATATAAGCACCAGCAGTACATACTATTATTTACCTTACTTTTCACCCAACTTTACCTAGTACTTACTACTTAGAAAGTCGCAGTAGAAATCTATTCATTAGCACAACACATCTCACATCCTTTATCTTGCTTATATCTTCACATAAGTTTAGTCTCTCTTATTTCTGCTTACACGCGCGCGCTTTCCCGCGCTTCGCGCTAATACGCGCGCGCGTTCCCGCGCCTTCGTACCTTGCGCGCACCTGCGCTTTCTCGCGCTTCGCTGAAGCGCGTACCTCTAGATCTCCGCTGCACCTGCTTCCCCTTTAGGGTCGAACGCACTTGTCCTTTCAAGTATAGCAGACTAGGCAACGCACGACCTACAACTTTTTAGATACAGTCAGGAGCATTTCTTTGTTCCTCTCAGTATTGTTGTTTCTACAGCGTATAACCTCAACGAGAGGGCGATAGTGGAATCCGGGAATGGTGTAAGGCCTAGGGGCATCTTCCTTTGACTTTGTTGGAATGTTGATGGTGACGCTGGTCTCGATCCAGTCGTCCGGAAAGGTGATTTTCTTCCCTCTTTCGTCCTTGTCCAGTTCTCGTAAACTCTGCTTCACCGAGAAGCCCTCAAGGTGTTCGCGGTCGAAATCTTCCGCGAGCATCACATCTTTAACAAGCTCTGCGACTTTAGTTTCCGATAATCGAGTGGTACCGGAGTTCATCCACGACATGAGGCGATATATTGTCATATTGGGAAAGGGGTATGGGGGAGCAAAGATCCTTGGTGAAGAGTCAGTATCTTCAGCAGCGGTCGGACATGTTCTCCCCAGCAATGAGGACGGAACAAATCCGTCTGGCTCGAAAGAAGGACGACGGGGGTACAGTCGGCTGAGGCCAAACGTGTTGAAAGGGGTTTGAAGCATGTCTCTGAGTGTTAGGAGGACGCGTCGGATTCGAGATTGGGCTGGTAGGGCAACCAAATTTTGAGTTGACGGACTCTGACCTGACTCGGAGTAATTGATGTCTTCCTCTGAGTGCTCGATGTTATCGAAAGACCTTGGTATTCGTCTTATATGGCCTGCCGGTTTATCTAAACGAGTCGATCAGAAAAAGAAGGTAAATAGATGCTACTAAAAGAGAGACGAACTGAAGTCAAATCCGTCCTCCATCTCAACATCAACATCATTTTGTGGAATTTCTTGGTCGATAGAGTGTTGGGAGTCGGCAAGATTGGAGGTATCGATGATGCGGGCGCCAGACGCTTGCCTTTGCCTCTGTGCCAACGGTCTGCGGGTAGCAATTGGTCTCGGACGGCCCATTATCTAAGGTTGAAGGTCGCATGAGTGACTAATGAGAACAACGGTAGCAAGGACTCACATGTGAAGGATTCGCCGGCAGGTCGCCGCAGCGGTGAGATAAACCTGCAAGCAATGATACCGCTGCATCTTTGGCGCGTTCCTGTCTCTTCTGAGTTGCGAGAACACTACACTTCTTGTATGAATGACAGGATGCACGGTGTCTGTTCAGTCCACGGGTGTCTGTTGCCCTCTCCCAAGAGCAACCCGGTGCACCACACGACACCATCAACAGAAACAAACCTGAGAGAAGGACGACGATCCAACTTGAAAGAGCCTGAGATCCTCCAAGGCGCATTTATGCGCTTATTGGAGGTGCTAATAAGATGCAACTCTAGTTGACTTGGACTCAGAGGCGGTCGCAGTGACAGCAGCTGAGTCAAGATTCTGTCTTTGAAATTTCGTGGGCCAGGTCACCAGCAGCTTCAGACAGTTACACAAGCCAATCACGGTTGGACACCAGCAAACGATTGACCAAGTGGCGATTAAGGTAGGTCGCAAAGTCAATTTGTTTGATTTGAATATTAATAAGTACTATATGACGGACCGTGGCAGCCAACCGGATCTTGACTTGAGAATTGCCGCCTGCGTCGCAGAAACCTTGCTTAACCTAAATATTTAATTGGTATTCTGACTCGAGAGAAAAGCTGGAGTCCTGGATGCCCGGAGGGCTGTAGCGAATTTTCAAGTGGCTACACCACTCGAGTATTCGTGGTAGTATGATACGCGGCTGGTCACGAGCCTAGGCTTTACCGTGACTTTCACATCCTATTTTGGGCTTTGTATCTTTTGTTTCGTCACTTGACCTTTCCGAACTTTGGCTCATTTTGGCGTGTTTTATCTTCTTTTTCCTCCCATTGACACTTACAGTAAGTCCAACGCATGGCGTTGATAACCGGGTGTTACCGAGGTAGAATCGCTTAAGTGTTCAGACTAACGCAGACCATTAGCAATGAGTTCTATTATCTCTTGTTCGCCATCGAAGAGTGATTGGTCGTCCCTCAGCAAGCCTCGGTTTGTCGACTTAATATTGGGTTGTTCACAGCACGTTCACTCATGTTTTATACTCCAGGCAACTTCAACCTTCCTCGACTCCCATATTGGTTACGTCTAGCAGCTCTCCCATTTCGTGGAACCCAAATACTACTCATATTACTGGTGCGCCTGCCCCACAAGCTGAAGTGGGTAGCTCAGTAGCAACTATGCAAAAAAGCTTTGTTTTTCACGGTCGTCATCGTAAGCGCTCCGCCCAGTGTGCCTTATTTCAAGACGGTGACCGTGATGAGGATTGCAACTTGCCAACGAAGAGATTCAAAATTTTGAAAACAACCGTGAGTATCTCATCATGATAATGCGGATTTTAATTTGAGATGTAAATTCATGTTCAAAGTGGAACTGCACTCAGTCCAATTCTGGTGGCGCAAACTATGTCAACGAGCGGATGCTCGAGCTTTCCCGGGTCACTCGCCGAGCCATTTCCGCAAGAATGCGATACCAACGTATTCGCTCTCACGAACTAGATTTGATGAAGTCCATTCTCGAAGATGAAACGACGCTGTCCCAACAAGATCTCCATAGCCTTGATCTGCAAATTGGCTCCCTTAGACACATGCTCCATGCTGGAGGAGTGACGGTGATAGGGCATAAAGGATGTAAACTCGATCCTAACGACCACGACCAGGCTTGGTGTGAAAGCTCTGATGATAATGATGATAGTTCTATTTTTGGATCTGATGGCAGTCGCTCAGCCTGCGAGTCAGGCTGTGCGTTGGATGAATAATCTGACGAGCAGCTGCGCTGTGATAATATTAGTGTGTATTGTCCCTATGATTTTTTTCTAGTCAGTCGCGATATCTACCATTACATGTGTCTATATGTAGTTTTGCACTGTAACAATCGTATTTATTTGTCGAATTACATAAATTGCTGGACCAGAAATGAAAGGCACACAGTGCCCACTTTACAACCGGAATTTGTCACTTGCAAGGGTGGATCAAAAGCTAGCACAAGGAAAAATCATCCATTCATAGGTTCCGAGTCACATCTGGTACTCCGATTCATTACATAGTACTAGTAATAAGAGTGGCCGCGCTGCGGCGTTGTAGTGTCACTCAGGATCCAAGCGGCGCCACAGATAAACGCCCGCAACCTCGATTTGATTCACCTCAGCGGCAACACCGTGGCTATTAGTAGTACCGCCGCACTCTGGGACATGAAGTAACATTTTAGAATAGACTCCGAGTCAAGAGACTCATTGCCAGTCACGTCTGTCACGTTCCAATCATTCTAGAACCCGGTTCTATTACTCACGACAACTTCTAATTGGAAGCAAGTCTTAGGCGTGGTGGGGCACGAACATTAAATATAGGAGTTGTGAAATTTAAAATATGCTGCAGCTCGATCGTACACCGCAATTCTTATCATTAGTAAGTCACGAAAGCAACTGAATGCTGATCGAAATGTTTCCCCATGCGTTTAGTGTCCTCGACCTACTGACTAGTAAGTTACATACATCTAGACCACCACTCTCAGATCTTATTAACAGATTCAGCCGCCCAGCCGTACAAAGGTCGACCCAGGGTGTACATTTCTCAGTCCGCTTCGGGGCAATCAGAGGACTTTTGCCCAAATCGAACGATCTTTCGACTCTTTTGACTTTTTTCTGCTTTTTATGAACCTTTGAACTTCACTAATTTCTTCCGACACACATTATGGTTTTCTGCACTGTCCAACTTTGTACTCATCTTCTTCACGCACAGGACCATGTGCCGTCATGATCACGATGAAGGCCTCACATACTGACTCCGGCTTTAAACGATATCGCAATGATGAAGTTGGTCAGTTATCATTGGGGTTCTTCAAGTCCATTGAGTCTGTGAGTCAAACGCACTACATGTGCACCGTGACGTCCAAGTCTTCATTGGGATAAAGTTCTATCAGATGCACTGTGACGCCTTGAACTTGAACACACGCGTTGGAGAGTCACCAGCGTGACAATGTCGTACTCTGGAATTTCTTATATTTCGCTTTACTCCATTGTTTAAAATGCAACTCGCCTGCCAGACGGTGAGTCTCCGAGTCAGCTTTCCAAAGTCCCTCTCCTTGAAGCATTATGACTACTCCCGAGCCGTCCGACAGCTTTGAACCCATACCCTACGACCCCGTAAATCCCAAGCGGCGATTGACGTCTTCAGAACGTTCATCGCACCGCTTACAGCCTTACACTCGCACTAGCAGCACGAGTGGCGTCGTGCGGAATAACTCACCTTCAATTGGATCTGGAAGTTTTGTCTCAGACAACTGCGGAGGCCAGAAAGAGGTGAAAAAATTGGCCCTAAAGGATCTGCCCCCGGGTGAACGTCCGACCGTCAAATGGGCACGGAAGCGCTTGGTGATGGATCTGTTAACGACAGTTGTTTGGCCGCAAAATGAAACGGACGAATGCAGGGACGCTTACCTCAATGAAGTTCTGAATCAAGCCAATTCGATGTATGGGACTAGTATGTACCCCGCCATCATACTGTATCACCAGCTACTAATGCGACACGCCAGATGTAGCATTGACAAAGGAACTTGGCATCCTGCTGACCAACCCTGTTTCGCAGTTTCGCAATAGTCTTGCGGAGATTGCAGAGAAGTTGGTGCGAGAGTTCGAAATCGAACCCAAGGACACCACGTTGAGCGATGAGGCCCGCAAGACCTACATGCAAAATCGCAGGCTCATGCTCCTCGATTCATCCGAGGCCAACCGATGGCGATATTTTTTACACGGTGAGAGGGTCGATGGACAGAATGTCACCCTGCTCGTGTTTTCGAATCCAATCGTGGAGAAGATCCATATCAACCATCTATACGGCAGTCCTTACACGCCACTGCGCGAGCAGGCGTTCCTGAAGGAGATCACTACGACGACACTTCATATGTTCTCACACGTTGCGGCCGGGGTGAGTCATAGACTTAGATACTCTTGTGTACATGATGTTCACTATTTTCAGGTGGAGTACGGAATCGACAAGATAGTAGAAGATGTTATCCCGAGCTCTACTAAGAAGACTTGGCGATTCCACGGTGAAATATACGCCTCGCGCCAGGCCTACTACATGGAAGCCGTAACGCGTGCATTGTCACTCCCGATTCACAAGGAGGCTTTACCGGCGCGGTTTTTAAATCTTCATCACAGAGGACTGTGAGTTGTTTCTGCTGTCTTGACTCGGACCCGGAATGTGACAAAACCATGCTTGTAATTTTGTAGCCATACCTTGAGAACCAAGTTGGGTTTAGTGGGTCCAGAAGATCCAATATACGTGCCTCAGACGATGCAGGAGTTAACTAGACCACTTTACGCAGGCCCTAGTACCAGCCAGCCGTTCCTGCAATCATCATCTGCAGTGCTGCCAGTGCCCGCCCAAGAGGAGCCATATTCATACACAAGTGACCTCACAGCAGGCGGGTCTTCCATGGCTGTACACGCTCATACAAGTACCACCTACTATGGCCCCGCCTCGGATTCCCAGTTCGGCCTCTACTACTGCGCGCCACCCGATGAAGATGAAGGTCCCCAAGATCCGTTGAACCAAGGATATTCATTTTACTGAGTGTTGCGCATGTAGATTGAAAGAGGTGAGCAGCACTTGAACGTCCAGTTCCACTTTACTACATGAGCTAATTTCCAATACAGTCCGCGTCAGAAATTCCTTGTAGTCTTATGGTGTTACAGTTTAGATAGACTCCGGCTTACTTTTCTTTTCGCTGTCTGTATACCTAGTACTCAATCACCAGGCCCGTGCCAGTCACGGTGGTAGTTGCAATACATCTCATGCTCATCACTGTTCTCACTACAAACGCCGTTCTTGAAAAAACTTGAACTTCATTTGTAAACTACAGAAATACAAGCGAGCATTTGATGGATATGCCAATATAAATTAGTAATGTTAAGCCCCCACCTGCATAGGCACCGCCGACACGATTAGCGTATCACGGCCGCGTGCGCGAGAGAGTGATAAACGACAAGGTCTCGTCCCAGCCCATTCTCTCCCGCTCCTTTCCCAGGGCTCCGCCCCTGCAAACTTCCTCATTTTCGATGACTTTCCAGTCATCATATTGGATGACCATGCCATCTTTGATTCTAACGCTGAAGCACTTGATGGAAGAGTAAGACTAGCGGGAGAGCGATAAAAATGGAGTGACCAGGATTTGGGCGTCAATCCTGATTGATTCTTGGATCCCTTCTGGAGTAGCTCGAGCGTGCGCCGCTGCTGGCGTGTTAATGCGACACCTGATGGGGATGTAAGTAAAGTGGGTTCGATACGATGCCTCTGGAAGATTGATCATCTCCCGAAGCTCTTTAGTGGTGAATGCAGCCTCCAGAGGTCCCCATCTTCCAACTATGGAGACATGCTTGACGGTAGAGTGGGAGAGAACTTCGAGAACATGCTCTGGTACATCATATTGACGAAGTACAGAGGGGGAAGTCAGAAGAATACGTGCAATGTCCAGTGACACGTTTCCCTGTCCAATTAATGTGAGGTGTGTTATCTTGTCAAGCGCGGGGGGTGGCGGCTGGGATGGGTGTTGTGTATACCAATGGACCAGGGACAATGCAGGTATGCAGTAAACAGATGGAGGGATTGCAGGGTCAAGGTGGGCATAGTACATCCTATCGCGAACAGTAAGTGGGAGTAGTAATTGTTGAGTATGGAGGTTAGGGGTAAACGAAGCACGTAAGGAATAGAATGAAGGGGCATGCTCCCGACATTTACGTTTCCAAAGAAACGAAAACGCGGGTCAGTTGCAGTAGCATCGAATTTGTTCGCGCAATTCTAAGGGTCTCCTCAGTGATTAGTGATACATGAAGAAATCCAGCTCACCTTGACCTCTGGGTGATCTGGTGCAACGCCATAGCGGACGAGACCATGAGATGCCCACAGTCGGTCGTACATGTGTACCCTCAGTGGTGGAGACATTGGATCCTTCAGTGGAAGGAGAGAGCAGGCGCGAGGCTACATAAAAAGCAGATGGCCCTCCACCGATTATAGCTAATTTCACCGGAGGTGGCATGGTCCAAAGGACCAGGAAGGATTAAAAGAGCCTGCGAGAAAAAGATAATGAGCGTTTGATGAACGTGAGTGCGAATGACACCGACCGTGACCGACGCGGCGGCCGCCAGTAGCGCCCCAAATTGACCGTACTTAGGACTTCTTGACTCATCAGTCCAGAAGGTGCGGGATTTGGCCAGTCTGCGTGAGGTCTATACAGATAAGTCACAGACTCTGTGTCAAAGTCTGGGGATGGGTCCGCCAGCAGTTATCCGGAAAGTGCCGGGAAGTCTATCAAAAGATGAACTCAGTCACTCAGTGGTTCTGTTCGCCGTAATATTATGTCATAATCTAGCGTCAGCCTCCCGCCATCCCGCCATCATCTTCTCCCCGCCACGTTGCCCGCCGTGCCCACAGACAACATATCATCGACTGCAGCTCCACAGCTGCCAAATATTCCAGGTGCCGTTCTGCAGATGTCATCAACCGGACTTGTCATTGATTGCACCTACTGATGCGTGACACAAGGGTGGCTGAACACTGTCCGGTTTTCACTGGGGGTGAGTAGCCACTGACGGGGGTGGCTGACGTAGATCCGATCATGGCGGGAGTGATGATGTCAGAACAGATAACCCGGAACTTGCCGGCAAAACACACCCAGACGTGTTCCCCAGACTCTGCCCAGACGTGTCCTCCAGACTTTGAGGCGGAGTCTGCGCAGACTTAACACAGACCGGCCATTTCCTACATGCCCTCCACCAGTCGCAATTCACTGGCATGCAGGCGACACTCAGTGTTGCCGCTCTCAAACGTTTGCTCCAACCTTAATATTGCATTTTACAGAGCTCACTCGGTTCCAGCGTTCATTAGGGCACTAACATGTCTGTCGAGATATGGCGATGATGTTGTCATATCGGCAAACCCAGAACAGCTCTCTTTAAGCGCAACTAATTCTTCACTCTCTGCATACTGTTGCTTCAAGTATGGGCGCAGGTTCTTTTCCAGATATAAATTCAGAGATGGCGTGGCACAAGACGATGTCCAGGACGTGAAAGGACAGTTTCTCGCTAAGGTATGTCTGTTTTATTGCCCAACCGCGTTCCGTGACAGACTGTTTAGAAACATAGACATTTCTTTCCATCATTAAACATAGAACTATCGAGAAGACACTGGAACGCTGCGAATTTATAATCGTTGAAGCAACGGATCTATATGACCAGAATGAGCCAGACGAGGACCAGGATACACTAGAGAGCAGATTGATTATTCGATTGCACTGTAAACATGGTATGTATGAAATCTACTCCACATGCACAGACATGTAAAAGTCTCCGCAGGCATCGTAAAGACTCACCGACTGCAACTCTTGATCCCTACATCATTGCTTTCACCGGGTACCTCAGACCCTTCGACTGAATCCCATCTTACAATAGGTCCACGCGCAATAAAAGACATAACGGAGCATTTCCCAAATGCTCGAGGGGCGAAAGGCAATCCTCAACTTGTATGGACCTTTGGAGACACCGACGTTGAGGTCAAGAGCCTCGAGTCCTCTATTGACACTAGAGGTGGGGATGCCTAATCCAGATGGTGGACGGCTCATATCTATCTCCCAAATCAGGTAAAGCTCAACTATCAACAGAGCTGACAATCAGCGCGGATGAGTTCGATGTCTATGACGTCTATGCAACCCCAACTATCATCTCTTTTCACTTGCGAGAGTTCAATGTGTGTCACCACAGTTAACGTTCACTTCTTACAGTCTCTGACTTTTTTTATCTGACAGGCCATAATTGCTTTCGCGGAATCCATGGGTCTCTGCCTAGATCTACGGTTCACGGATTCTGTGGCCCCTCTCTTCATCGAAGTCGAAAGCGAAGAGTCAGAGTGTCTTTTTGTCATATCTACCTCGCAATACGGTGGTTCAGCCGCACCTCCATCGTCAAACTCTACTCAACACAACACACACAAACATCCTTCTCCGAGCGATGATGGTAAAGGCAGCTCGAGACAGCGAAGTGAAACACCGAGAATAAAGAAACCAATGAAAGCCGTGCAGCGTATGGATGTGCGTGACTCCGTTATTTTATCCCCTTTCACAACTTTCTCAGGCAGACAAGGAGGTGATACGCGCATCTGGTCTGGGTGTCGAGGACATGAACCAGGATGAACTAACGGAAATGCTCAAAGGAGAGGGCGAAGAAGTTGGCTTCGAGTTCGCTGCATCTCAGAGTCTTACCAACATGGAAGATGCAGATTCAACTATGCGTTCTGCGGATGATGATCCTGAAAGCTTTGAGCTTGTTGAAGACATCGGCACTGAACTTGGGCCAACGCAGGATGACGTTGGAGGCAGGAAGAAGGTATGTTTTGTCATCCTATGAAGGGCTGGGTGCTAACTCATTGTCTACCTCAGGTGTTTCAGCCTCTGTTTGAAGATTAATTTCGACACACATAAGTGCGCCCTCGCATGTCAACATTACGAGACGCATAAAGTCAAATTAGGTACGTACGGAAGCTGTCAACGGCTTCCATGTCCTTTTATAGTCATAAGATACTACCTAACATACTTTTGCGCTTTAAGGAGCCAGGACACTATTTTCTACCGACTGTGAACATTGGACGTTTTCAAGCACTCGGGGAAGCAGTCAATCCGTATATAAACGAAGCTACTGGCCAATCTCTATCCTCTCATCTTCTTTCCTATTCCTTGTCACTCCCCTTCTCGGTGTCACTGTTGCACGGTGAGGCCACTATGTCGCATGGTGATGGTGATGCGACTGTCGTCAACCCGGAAAGACAGCAGAGCGAGAACGGCCTTCAACAGCCTTCAGAAGCCCAGTCAGCATTCCTGGAGGCCCGGCAGAGACGCAAAATCGCCGAGCTGGAAGGAAAGATAGAGACCCTTGAGTCAGGGCGCGCGTCCAAAGAAAGGTATGTCCATCAATGTATGCGTTGGGTTGGTTACGCTCAATAATCTGCCAGGCAAATGAATTACTATCTAGCTCAAGGAAGAGGCATCAGGCGCATCGTCGCTTTATTCGACAACATCGAGGACCTCGTCACCGAGAATGACAGAAGATATGATGAGGACGCGGCCACTTTTGAGTAAGTTTTTTTTCGCCTGTAGTTTGTCACCAGCGTCCTCACATTTCATTTATTTATGTAGTCAAGACCGTCTGCAGACGGCATATGATATACTGACGAGAACTTTGCCATGGATCGTGACGCGGTCCTCCGAACTAGAGCACGATGATTATTTACGCATGATTAAAATGGTAAGTGCTGTTCCGATACTACTAATGGTCGGCTTCATCACGACAATTATTCGTGAAGCTTAGGCAGGGAGCTGATGGAGCTCGAGGAGACGACACATCAAAACTCAAGGCTCTTGTTGCCGACTGGGTCAATCGTGAACTCAAACCGAATCCCCCGGTGGACCCCGACGATAAACATACTCGCGGGTTCATCAACGACGCGTGTGGCAAGTTACTCTGCCCGGCCGAGCTGGACTGGAATAACCCGACGTATGTAGCGTATTTGAAAATCTCAAGCAACGTTAACTTTTTACCAGCACGAAGGCAGGGATTCGAGATCGCTCTGAAGGTTATATCGTGACGGAGTTATCTTTTCCGGCCTTTTTGTATGAAAGGTATACTGCCAATTTGGACGATTTAGAGGCGGGCCTTTTCAAAGGGCGAATTCTGGTGCAGGTTCGTGGCATTGAGTCGCCCGGCCATGATCTCACTGTTTGTTGCCAGGGTTTTAAGGCTGTCTTCACGTCACCCTCCTCAGCAAAGGACGTCGAGGGCGACGGCGACGGCGCAGACATCATCGAGAACAATAGACGCGCCAGGAGGGCTGGCTGGGGACTCAAGGTAAAAAAACATGTTGCGCAGATAATTAAGATGGAGAAAGTCACTCCTCGCTCGATTGCGTATATCGCCTGTCAAGTAAGTTGTCATGGTCATCATAATAGTATTTGTTTTCTTATCTTATATTGACAGGTACGATTTGCACTTTCTTCCATCACGTCGTGGCGGACCGTTGACGGTGACTTCGACTATATACAATTCTGGCGGTCCATCGTGGACTTCTTCGAACGACCCCCCCGGTCGAGAAGCGCAGCGTCGGGTCAACAAACTCCTTGAGTGGTGGACTAGGTGCATACATTATACTGATACTGCCAACAAGCCTCGACTGATATCATCAATTTATCTAGAAAGGTTTTTGGTAGGAGTCGCCGTGAGGACCTTACTGATGCTGTGAGGTCCGGCATGTCTGTCAATGCTCTCGCAAGACAGAGGGCGGAACTCGACAATGCTACTTTTGATTCAAACTAAGTGTCTATTATCGTTTAAATACTATGTCGTGCTTTGATAATCCATGAATAATTTGATTCATACTATTGTGCCTCTGGCATTCTTGTTAAACATTATGAATGAATTTCCCAATGATTCAGATATAATTCCGCCTGTGACTTTGATTGACTGAAAGGATGGTTTTTGCAAGATGAAAAGTATCAAAAGAATGTAGATTCAAAGTTCTATTCATGATATTTGACACGGCAGGGATGTTTTATTTCTGATCGGATTCTCCTTAGTGATCCCTAGTGCTCTTAAGATGTCCATATAATGCCTAACTTAGCCCGGCAACAACAAAAGTTCCAAACGAGCCAGGTCAGCGACCACTGAAGTAGAGCGGAACGTCGTCGTTGCAATACATAGTATGTCCTAATAACAGATTTATCGTTGGATAGAGGAGCTAAGCCACCAAGGTCGTGGATACACGTACATGCAATTGCCCTGGTACAGGGCAAAAGAACTCAATGTTGCTGATCGGCGTGGCGCAATATGTAAGGCCCTTGTGGATTATTAAGTAAGGTATTCAGGTGAGCCGTTACTCACTGCTTTCAACTTTCGCACCAGGGTACTACACCATTAAGGTGCTGCGTCTGCGCGTTGCTATGACCCTCGTTGTGACGTGTCGCGAATGAATGCAATAGTCAAGTTATGACACAGCATAGCGGAAGGCCTTTGAGTAGCAAGCGCAGTATTCGAGTGAGGGATGGTCCTCCACTGTGGATTTCTTCATAAATCTACTGCATGATAAATATGGACAAGTTCCCAACTAATAGATAGCCCGCAATCATCACCCGTATGAATAAGACAACCTCGATATCGCGGTCGCTATATTTTTTTAGAATCATGCTCATAGGCCATTACAGATCCGAACAATCTCCAGAACACCGTTCGAGTTCCAATGCACGGATCCTTCGGTGTGATGTGGATAGGCTGAATATACACAGTAGAGGACAGATATCGTGGTCGCTGTATTGTTTCAGATTCATGTTCAAAGGACAATAAAAAACCGAACAATCTCCATAGCACCGTTTAAGTTCTAATGCGCGGATCCTTCGCCGTGATTTTGGAGAGTCGGAGCAGGACATAGGTTGTTTGTTGCTTGCTCGGTGAACACATCTCGGCTAGTGCGCAAAGGCAACGCTTTTTCGCACGAATTCCCAACTGATACATAGTAGACAGCTGTCAGATAGTTTACACATCACGTGTCAAAATTCAAGGTGGCACATACTAGCTCAACTATTGGCTTTGCTGGAATAATCTGTTTTCGCTCACTTAATCGACAACCGTCGTTCTCTGGAAGATGGCGTATTGTCCTTTTGGTTTTGAAACTTCGCACAATGATGTTAGAGTTTGAATCAAGTCACGTAACTTACCTGTCACCCACGCAGGTCAACATGTAGACATCAACTGGAAGGTATTGGCCTTTGCTCATAGCTTCGTAGTGATGAACCGCCCTTCTGATGTTAGGCACTTCGCACGATAATATTAAAGTTCAAAAGAGGTCGCAAAACTTACTGTCGCCCGCACGGGCTAACACATAGTCATCGCCTGGAAGGTATCGACCTTCGCTTGTAGCTTCGTAGTTGTGAAAATCCCTTCTGTAAAGGCATTTTTGATTCATCTAGCTCAACCGTCAACTTTTGCCACATCTTCACTTCAACTGTGAGTTTGAGTGAAATCAGTACCTTTTCCTGATCATCACATTTCGTAGGAAAATCAGGGAATCTCCTTTCCTCTATAAGGCCAAATATAACAATGTGATTGTCGATAGCAGGATTATGCTAGTTCTTGTAATTATGTACTATATATCGTGATATATAGTCTTCTACTTTTCTCACCGGTTCACTGATGATAAGATGCCTTCTAGAACTGTTGACATGATGGCAGCGGCATCCAGCGGCATCCAGCGGCATGCCAGTGACTGTTGATGCCATAGCGAAAATGATACCTTGGGTATGTATGACGGTGCGGGTAGCATCGCTAGCCATCTACATTATATGATGCTACAAAGTGGCTATAGATCAATTTAGTATCAAGCCATCAGGAATTAGCAAATGCCTCCCTGGCAGTGCGTCCTCGGAACTACATAGATGGGCAGTGATGCTGATCCTGGAAATCAGAAGTCGCCAGTGTGTCACTATGATTCATTCTTATTTCCCGCAAGCTCAAACCACTGAGAAAGTGAAAGTCCTTGGAAAATGCAGAACTGGAATGAGCCTCCGAGGTGCCGTGAGTCGAGATGAGATGAGATGAGATGTATTTGACCACCTAAGTTGGTCAGCGGTTATAGTCCAAGCTTTCATGCATTGATGACTTGATCGGGCAGATAAGGGACCGAATAACAGTACCTACGAACTCGCCGCCTCAGAATATAGGATTGAGCTGATATCATGGTCATATTTTTACGGACTTTGCGATGCTGGAACGACGATACATTGTAGATCATTCCGACAGCATTCAGTCGTGTGGGCGCGTCGATGAGAGGTTTTTGTACAGTCACAAGCCAACCCCGGCAGTCATGGTCAGGCGGGTAGTTTGATTCGGTGTCGCCAAAGAAGTAATAGGGTGCAAAGGACGAGATAGTCTAGTTCGGTTCATCCCATTTTCGCTCCACGACGGACAGACAGGAAATGAGACGCGTTGTCACATCAGAGAACCTGCGAGAAGAAGATATCATCATATATCGTAATATATAGGAAAGGTTTTCGTCACATTGTAATATAAAGTGATATAAAGCAATATATGACCATGTAAAAGCACCATAATCAGCATAATCCCCAGCAAGAACTCACCGGTTTACTGATGGCCATGTATGCTGGAAAGGATGGTAGCAAGCATTCGTTAGCATCAACCATTTTCAAACGTTAGTTGTTGCCTGCTCAACAAACTTTATTCCCCATCGGGTGATCAAAATAAGGGTTCTCGAGATGCGGATGGGACAATATGATCATCTAAAAAGTAAAGGGCGAAACCTGTTCACCTGATCACGAACGTCCATGCCAACAGAAACGTAGCCTGAAAAGTGTTTCTTGAACCAATTGAACATTGATATAGGATGGCTCAAAGACTTATCTAAAAAGTATCTATCAGCGGCCTTCGTCCGGAACACTGTTTGGAATTACTTGTTCATACTTTCGTTATTATGTAATACCATGCACCACATACAACGGGTTCGGGAAGTAGCGAGACGATGCAAAGACATTTAAGTTATGCTTCGCAGCTTCTGATCGCCATGCTCGTACATAAGATGAAATCTCTTCTCCGAGGTCTAATCAAGATCAGTATAATGCTTCAGTGCTTCGAGAACATATTTTACATGCAAAGGTCACAGGATGTTATCTGTAGATCCGTGGAGTTCGAGTCCTAGCAACGGGGATCTTCCTTTCAAGATTATCGTGTTAGAATTAGGGTAGAGATGGAACACTATCAGCAGCCAGACAATTTGTAGAGATGTATACGTACTTGGCGTGTGCTCATGAATTGAAATAGTGAAGCCTAGGCCTGATTAGTCTTCCCTATCCAGACCTTAGACGAAGTCAAATGCTAGTGGTTCGTTTAAGTCGCATGAGTATTTCAGGATGCGTGCCATCCTATACAAAATCAAAAGAGAAGATGCTCGAGGCACGAGTACGTCTCTCTAAATTACAAAGAGGAGACTTAGCTCAGTTGCAAGTAAAGCAGGAGGTGAACGAAAAGACGAACATGTTGAAGAGAGTGAGGATGGGTTCCATGTGCATGGACGTCTGGAGGTGATCGGTGTCGTGGATAATTCTATTCATGGTACTCAGACTGGTCCTCAGAGTATCTGTGCAAGTCTTGTTTTCTGTGGCAGAAGGAGAAGACAAAGCTAGAACATTCGGAATGTTCAAAACGTTCAAGTCTTAGCGCTTAGCGGTCGACACACCATGAAACAACTTGGTCCCAGACAGGTCGAATCTGCAGGCTCCAATTTTCTGCTGTTATATCGCATACCTTTCCATGTTGCTCTTGCGGGTGCATCTCTAGAGTCGGTGGCCTAGGAAAAATCCTAACCATGCGCCAAGAATCCAAGATAGTTTTTGTGCAAGCAAAACATCGGACGCTGCCTCATTCATGGTGCTTGAGAAGCTCCCCAGGGCCCATACACCATTGACTGTCCTGCAGCCATTCGACCTCATGATTTCTCCATCGTGTCCGAATTCCAAGGCATTTGGTAAACTTATGAACGGAAAAGCTCGAGCTCCAGGCGGAATCATTGCTCTGAGGATCTATGAGCATGGCAATAGTGTACCCCCAAAGCTGTACGTTAATATTTTCCTCGGAGATGTTGCACAATTCGAATATATAGAACTATAAAAGACACGAAAATAGAGATATGATCGCGAGTTCAAGTTCTTAGGCAGCGAGGCGGTTGCCAGGATTGAAACCCCCCCTCTTTGCCCTTGTTTGGATATTGTGACCCCTACTCGCTTCTTGACTTAACGAACATGTTCTCAACGCTCACGCTGCATCAGGCCCATGCAGCTCGTTGATAATAACGCAGTGCGTTCTCTACCTTTACAATTGTTAGTGTGATCGTTCAAGCAGTATCTAGTTTCTCCAACAGCTGGGCGCTCTCTTCGAATCGACCAAAGACAAGGGCACCATATGGCTCACTTATAAGCGATGTGCGTCTTGATCGACCGCTTTGTTATTTTGACTTAATACTTTCTGATTATATGTAGTAACTCATGATGGTGATGACACCGTAATGAAAGAAGAAGATGGGAGCGATGGGAGCAGAGAATATCCTTGTATCGTTCGTGTCACTGATGACAAGAAGGCGAAGTTCTCCACCAAGGTACATAACAGATCTTTTGCACGGCTTCGCTATGCTCATGATATACCACCCTACAGATTTTATCAATAGATCTCGATAAATTCCACTCTGCTTACGGTGCTCTGCTCAAATCATCCATGACCACCCTTCGCAAGCGCGACAAAAAGCGTGAAAAGCAACGCGCAGAACAGCTCGCAAAGAGAAAGCAGCGCATGGCAGATCCGGTTGTTATCGATGGACCTAAGCGAGGGAACGGTCGACGCAAGAGGCAACGACAAGTCAAGGCAGCCCTTAAGCATGCGGAGATGAAGGAGCGCGCAGCCAAGAGAGAAGAGGCACGAACAAAGCAGTGAGAATCGATTGTAAGCGTGTGTTGGAAAAAGTATGTTGTACGCTGCTGTAATTATCTGCTTACGTCGACCGTACCGATACGATGTCTATGCGGAATTTGCTCGAGATCCGATGTTTCGTCAGATAGTGATGCGTCGAAAGCTAAAGAGAAACTCATGTCTGTTTCTCAAGACCTAACAAACAGGCCTGATGTTAGGCGTGGGAAGTAAAGCCAAGCTCCATCTTTAGAGAGGGAACTAAGTATGACAAGGTCCACCACTCCCCGTCGATTTCCCAGCTCGATGTATTTGATCTGAGTATTTCGAAATCCTCCATATCCTTCAGAAATGCCAGTGGAAGCCACTCACCCGACAAATCCATTTTCCTTTGACGATGACGACGAAGAAGGATGGCAGGAAATGCCAGTCATCAAAGAGGATGACTTCGGAGGCGGTCTTGACGAAGAAGATCAGAAGAAATATCACTACATGCCCTCATCAAAGAAACCGGTGCCATCTGCATCAACAGCTGGAAATGCAACCGGCAATCTCATCGATTTCGACGAGGAGGGTGTCGAATGGCGTTCCAAGACAGAACAGAATGAGAATGAATATACTAGACTGCGCGGTCAACGAAGAAGATGAGGCGGATGAGGTTCACCTGCGCACACGATACCTGTTTGATGAAGACAAGGCTATGACCCCGCTCAGCCAGATGCAAGCGACCAAGAATATGTTGACCGAAGCACAGCGCATTGCCTACGTTGGTGTCTGCGCCCTCACGGCGAAAGAAATGGTACAGAAGTTCAAGACTTCTAATAGAAAGGAGCTCAAAACATCCCTCCAACATATGGAGCTGTGGGCGATGAAGATCATGGGCCGGCTTTATTACCACATGGAACTTGAAACTGCAGGTAAACTTGCGCATCTTTTCAGTCGAACAGGCGGGATCACATATGCTCAAACGCTATATCAGAGCAGAAGATGATAGACAGCCTAGCTGTGCATGGTGTGCAAGCGATAGATCTTGTACCATCGCTAATGACAACCCATACTGTTGCCAACCCCGAATACGACCCTGTTGAAGCACGGCGGCAGGCTGAAACCCGAGGATCCAGGAAAGATACAACGAGCAGGCGGAACTCCAAAGACGACAAACTTCGACCTTCCTGCCTGGTCTCGGACGGTCGTAGTCCTCCTCAGACACCCACGTCTCCTTCCTCGACCACCCAGATGAGCTTTCAGACTACGGCCAAAGTTCTTGAGGGCACTGCTGTTGATTCTGCATCGATGGGAGTCACTACGACGCTGTCATCCGCTGAAAAAGACGTCACACTTGATATTCGGTGGACCGTTCTGTGCGACCTGTTCCTTATGCTTATTGCGGACAGTGTCTACGACGCCAGATCACGTGTATTACTGGAGAGTGTTGCTCTCAAACTCGGACTTGGCTGGTTGGATGTAGTAAAGTTTGAGGCTCGCGTGACAGAGGCGCTTGAGATTCAAGAAGGCGTCGAGAAGATGGAGAATCAGGAGATTATTGAGGGATCGTCAAAGGCTGCGCGAAAGAAGCGGTATATGATGATGGGTCTGGCTACACTTGGTGATCTCGTTTATTCCAATCGAGATGTGGAACAAGTGCTAATGAATTTAACACGTATTTGAACACAGGTGGTGGTCTGGTTATCGGACTTTCTGCTGGACTTCTTGCGCCTGTCATTGGTGCTGGTCTGGGTGCAGCCTTTACCGCTGTCGGCATATCTGGGACAACAGGATTTCTCGCTGGGGCCGGTGGGGCCGCTGTGATCACAACTGGAGGAATTTTGACTGGCTCTGGGATCGCTGTTCAAGGAATGGCCCGACGTACGCAACAAGTACGAACATTTGATGTGCTACCGCTGCATAACAACAAGCGTGTCAGCTGCATCCTGACTGTTCCTGGGTGCGTCCATCGTCAAATGTGGGTATATCGACTACCTCAAACTTGTGATGTAGATTCATGAATGGCAAGCTTGATGATGTCCGTCTACCTTTCAGTGTTTTGGATCCCATCGTGGGCGATGTATTTAGTATACTTTGGGAGCCCGAGATGATTCAAGAAACCGGTAGTGCGCTAAAGATTCTTACGGGGGAGATTCTGTCACAAACAGTTCAGACTGTACTTCAACACACGGTGATGACTGCCCTCATGAGCGGACTCCAGTGGCCAATCAGTAGGCGTGATGTCGATTTGCATTTGCTAAAGAGATGAGCTCACCAGCACTTCATCAGTTCTCACAAAACTTGGTTACCTGATTGATAATCCTTGGAATAATGCGCTCGACCGTGCACGAGCAGCTGGCAGCGTTCTTGCGCAGCTCCTTATTCATCGTCATCTCGGCGTTCGACCTATTACACTCATCGGGTTCTCTCTTGGCGCACGTGTCATTTTCTATGCCCTCCTCGATCTCGCCAAGGCAAAAGCTTTTGGCATCGTGCAAGACGTTTTTCTCCTCGGAGCCACGTTAACGGCATCAACCAGCACGTGGTGCAATGCCCGCAGCGTCGTTTCGGGGCGCTTTGTAAACGCATTTGCAAGACACGATTGGGTCCTTAACTACCTCTTTCGTGCAACCAGTGGTGGTTTAAATACGGTTGCAGGCTTGCGACCAATTGAGAATGTGCCGGGTTTAGAGAATGTTGACGTTACGGATAAGATTTCGGGGCATATGAGCTATCGCGCATTCATGCCACTCATATTAGACCAGCTTGGCTTCCCTGTTTCGTGTGATTACTTCGATGAGCCTGTTGTACGTGTCTAATTTTGTCGGGCCGGCTCTTTCCTAATTATTATTTATAGGAACCCGAATTCAATGAGGAGAGGGTTGTTGTGAGAGAAGGGGACCATACACAGAAAAAGAAGTGGTTTTCTAGAAAGAAGAAACCGTCAGCGTCACCAACACCAGTATCGAGGCCACCCTCAACAGCTTCTTTTGCCTCATCGAGGCGGAAGCCCTCTTCCCTAGGGAAAACGACTGATGATGACAATGAACCACCTCGGGAGTTCACGGGGACTCCCCCGCCTCAGAATACCAACCCTCATTCAACACAGTCTTCCGATGATCAATTACCGAGTTCTTCCACTGACATCCCTGTTCATGCAGGCTTCGATCTAAAGGCCATCAAAGATATGATAGGACAATCTGAGAAGACTCCCGAGGATATGCAGGTTCCTCAGCCTTCCCAAATTCGCTTATCTCTAGGCATATCAGAATCTCCACCTGCCTACACAATTACGCCTACAGACGTTGCCAACCCTCCGGGTTTATCTGTGACTGACACTTACTCGAGCGCTGGCTTAAGCGCTACGTTCGCCACGTCACTCCACAATGTGCCTGATTCTGGTGATGACGTCGATGATGGTCAGGGCATACCCCCAATTGTAGATGATGGCCCTAGCTCTTCAGATCACCTGAGCTACCTTTCTTCAGCCACTTCTCCCCATAACACTATTCCTCAAATATCTTTTGGTAGAAATGAGACATCAATATGGTCTCCTCCGTTACCAGAGAAAACTTCTCCATTTGGAAATCCCTTTGCGGCTGGCACGGTCTCGTTTGAAAACTCCAGTATATCGACGAATGGCCTACCTCCAGCAGCTGGTCCCTCAGCATCGCTTTCGTTTGGTGGAACAGATGGGACGATAACTTCGCAGGGTATGGGGCGAGATCCGTGGAGCATTCCTGTTGACCAGAAGAAAACTCCCAATTATCTGGCCAACCCTTGGTCAACTTGAGAGTGTTGGCGCAAGGTGTGGTCATCGTCGGACACAAGGCATGCCCACTACATACATCTATGGGATTTTATGCACATACTCTGACATAGTAACACAATCTGGATCTTCTCAAAGTTTGCACATATGTAGATACGACAGCACACTTCACTTTTCCTGAATTAGCTATATCTGACTAGTCTATAATACCAAGCACGTCCGTACCGGCTTTCCGACTTTTCTGTTGAATCACTGATCAGATCGATAAGTTCACTTAAGCTGAACGTACAGGTCAATAACCAGCTGGAGTCAAAGTTGGACATCGTACCAAAGTCGCCAGCTGCCGGCCCGGGGGCGGCTAGGCCTTAGCACTGGATCTGAAATAACGAGATCAGCGAACCACTGACATGCGCTTATCATAATCTTCCACCATGAGAAGTCAACATCCAATGTATACTAAGCTGATCTGAGCAGACAGTCTGAGATTTCTTCTCAAGGTGAGTCTTTTCCGCCATTTGAACCCCACGTCTATCATGACTGCGGGTAATTCAGTACATATGTTCACCGGGTTACTGATGATTTGTCGCTAATAATGGCTCCTTACAATGTGCTCGTAGCAACAGGCCTTCTGAGCGTTGGTTTAATGTGAAACATCCAATAATAAGGTTCATCTTACTTTCCCCACAAAAGAGGCTAACTGAGGAATCCATTTTAGTCATAAGCTCAGCTCTCCGCTTAAGCCAGCTCCACCAGTCGGAGTTGGTCTTGTTGCTACTTTATGACCCGGGAATTCGTTCCACCCGAGCCTGAGTTTCTACAATATATATTCCGCTGCTGTTATGCACCATTTCACCATCGACTTTCCTTTCCTCTCCGAGTCCTGTTAACTTGCTTTGAGCCTTTGGGCTCTTCGTCAGGTGCCTTCTATCTACTCAATCTCACACATCACCTTGGGTTCAATGTCGCCGAGACCGATCCTGAAACAATGTCCACAGTTTCCGTTCTCTGCACATCCGACGGCTTCCCCACCCCGCCGTGTTCACTTCCCACCAACGCCAACTCTTACTTCTACGTATGCTGCCCACTCATCAGCTACGTATGACCGCTCGCCTGTCTCAGTCTCTCCCAATCACTGTGCACTCCCTGGGCGTCATGAGCGGGAATTTGTCTGCAGCGACGACAGTCGGTCATATCAAACGGCCGAGATAAAAGGAAGCTATTTTCACCCTCGTGCATACGAGGCGTGTGCCCCAGAGCCACCAGGTCACACCCATCTATATCCCGCGCTCTCCTTTGCTTACCCCTGACATCTCGTCAGTGTCTTATGAACCTGACAGCTTGGTGACATCACTACCTGATACTGTGTTAAGCCGAATACCTGTCCGTTTCACGGCTACGGACCCGATGATACCCTTCACACGACATACACAAGATGAGATTGATACCACATTTAAATCTTCGCAGCACCCTTCGCAGGCGAAGGAAAAGCAGAGGATGAAGAGAAGCTTGCGTAGAAAGGAGCCGGATCATTTCGGTGGCGACTGTGTAGGGTTCGCACCAATTGCTCTGGACTACAACAGCTGCCTAGGGGGGTTTTGATCACACATTTATACCTTTTGCCGTTTACACACTGGAATCTATACCCTCAACTTTGTAAAACATACCATGTAGTCGATACATGTGACTGTACCCTGATTTCAAACGCAAACGTGATGGACTGGTAGGGTGCACCTTACACCAGGGCATCCGCGGCTCCAGAGATACAAAAGTCTCTTAGACTTCGCATGTATTGTCCTACATCCGATGGACACAAATGAAATGAATTTTGAAAAAGAAACAAAAGCGAACATACCAACGAACATCAGAACAAAGTAATGAGTTTACTGTAGTATCTTAAAACATTTCTCCTCGGCACAGATATCTATTGAGAGCAATGGCCGGATAAAAATATATGGTGATGCTTTTGTATCCTGCGGTGATACGACTCGGACGATATCGCCATTTGACGCGGAAAATAGAATGCGTGCTTACCCGGCTGCGGCTCGGACGGAAGACAACCATCAGGCGAGTAATTCTCGCATACCTGTGGAAAAAGTCGGACCGCAACATCGGAGTAAATTTTGCTATTCAATGCAAGGGTACAAGAATCGATACATCTGGACACCGGGACAGAGGAAAATAGAAATTCGTGGGTAGGAATTTTCGGATCGGTGTCCTCAACCGCCGGGCCTCTCCTGCGCGTGTAATTTCGGTGATCCGGTGGGGGGAAATAAAGACACAGGAAGCTGGCAGTCTTGCTGTATGCCCATCTGTCCCCTTGCAGACAAGGTTCAAAGGCGATGAGGGCTTTCTTTAATATTGCCCGGATCTTACTTCTACGCCTCGGAAGCACATCAGAAAACTGAAGTATTTATATTCCACTTACTTACTGGGGAAGACTAGGGCCTGGGGATCATTCTACCAATTCACAATAGGTATGTGCCACATACTTGCAATTGACAAACCTCGGATGCATCGTCCTTTCCGGGGACGTAGCGGCAGAACGACCAAGTGGATCAAAATATGATGATGTGAAGGAAGAAGGACTTGATATTTAGAAGCGCTGCATGCTCGGACTTTTAAAAGGTCCAAGTTTTCAAATACATACTTCGATGCAACTTGCTATGTCGATGCGGTCAGTGCACTGCACAAGATTCCCGGCGGAATTTGAAAAGCTGAGAGGCGTGGGAATGGCGCAGAAGCCATTCAACAAATGACCTTCCCTTTGCTCGTGTCTTCGTCCGCAACCTCCATCACCGTCATTTCGCCAACACTTTTATCTCCTGACTATAGACCATCGTAATGGCTCGTACCAAGGTGCGTTTATAGAACTTTGCTTTACAGTACACTTCATTTACCGTTTATCCAGCAAACCGCTCGCAAGTCCACTGGAGGTACGACCTTATCGCTGCCCGTTTTTATCCACGTTGTAACGCCATTTCTATCTTCTAGGCAAGGCCCCTCGTAAACAACTCGCAACCAAGGCTGCTAGGAAGACTGCTGCTGCCGTACGTCTTTGTTTATCATCATTTCGCGTCTTCAATGCTCAATACCGTGTCATATGATACAGGCCGCCACTGGTGGTGTAAAGAAGCCCCATCGTTTCCGCCCTGGTACTGTTGCCCTTCGTGAAATCAGAAGGTACCAGAAGTCTACCGAGCTTCTGATCAGGAAGCTCCCATTCCAGAGGCTCGTTCGTGAAATCGCGCAGGACTTCAAGGTATGTTCCCATGACATTATCTGAATGAACTTGAGGTGACTAACATGCCTATTCTTCACCAGACTGACTTGCGCTTCCAATCCTCTGCTGTTATGGCTCTTCAGGAAGCCGCTGAGGCCTACCTCGTGTCACTCTTTGAAGACACCAACTTGGCTGCCATCCACGCCAAGCGTGAGTCATGCACTCTCCCGTGCTCCACAATGCTGACTCACTCCAATTTAACCAGGTGTGACTATCCAACCCAAAGATCTTGCTCTTGCTCGCCGTCTGAGAGGCGAGAGGTCCTAATTACCATTCGACTGTTTCATGATTACATGTCTCCTCCTTTACTTTGTTGTTTGCCTGTGATCTCTATATGATAGGCCCTTGCGCGTAGTGTGTACGATTGAACGCCCCCAACCCTTATCAGCCATTCGTCTCCTCCATTTTGATATTATGTATTGGACTGAACGGGCTGCGTCCCGCAGTTTGGGTAGATAAAATTGTTGTAAAGCGATATGTAATGCATGTGCTTCTACCGCACTCATGGAAACAGCTTGATGGCTTGGTGTTGGCGTCAATTTGTGTTGCGGTAACTATTTAGCGCGCGCTACACCACATATGACAAGTTGCAACAATTAGCCTGGATGATAAAGCTGACCGCGCGAGGTCAATGAATTCAAAAGTCTTTTGACTAGATCTCAAGTATAAAGAACTCATGCGCAATGGGCATCACATGTCACAAGCCAGCCTGTGTGGGAACATATGGTCCATCCGAGCACACAAATCCAACATCATTCGAGATCTATATCAACCGTTGTCAGCATACTCGCGTAACCACTCACTCCAAGACAGCGCATACCGTGGAGAAATTGCACATCGCGGCAACAGGGGCACCACTAAATGTGTGTGCAACAAGGTTCTTCACGACAATGTTGGTCGCTACGAAATCAAGTCACAGGGGTGTTTGGCAACAAAACTTGGGGACGAACCGGTCTTGGGGTACAAGTCAAAAATGACGCCTTCCTTGCCTGTTGCACCAGATACGTGGTACCTGACGACTTCTTAGTAGATGCTTCGGAAAAGGAAAAGTTATTACCAGCAAGGGTCGGTGATACACGAGCCTTCCACGTATCCGGGCGTACTAGGGATTAGGGTAAATAGATGACAGAAGAAAGTGATAACGATAGCCTACTCGTTGATAACGCCGACAAAGTTATCGAACAGGAAATTTTCAATACGAGTCTCGTTGACGGACGAGGAGCTCGGATGCGGGCCACCCTGCTATACGTTTAGTTAAAAGAGACATGTTTATACATGCAACATCAAGCTTACGCTTTGCTCCTGGTAGCTTTAAGGAGCGTAACACAATTATGAAAGGAGCACACGGAAAGGCAAAGACATACTTTTGGGTCACGAAAATAGGGAGCATCACATCGATAAATGTGATGTTTTTCCATGTTATACTGAAACAACACATTTTCAGTGCACGATTTAGCGAAACCGTCAGAAATACAGACTTGATGGCAGCACCATTTCCGCCAGTCCAGCTCTTGAAACGAGCTGCATAAAGAGTGCGGTTCTAGTAGATGGAGATATAGGGTGTCAGGCAAGGAGGCTTCATCGCCGAGAAAACTCACCATAATTGTGTTTTCGAATAATACGTCCTCTACGGATGCCACTTGGCCACCCACACCAAGTGAACCGACTGACAGACCGTGTGATCCCTCGCAGTAGCTATCTCTATGGCCAGACATAAGCTCGTTCATTGCGTTAGCGGAAGTTGACAAACCTCCAAGTGACATTCTTGGAGCCGCTACCAACAGCCAAGCAATCATCTCCATTGACGACATGGTTGTTTTCGAAAAGAAAATTGGTGCCTCCAGCTGAAAATCCATCACTGCATATGTTCAGCTAAACACCAATCAAATCAGGAGCTCAATAACGCACGTATTGAATGGAAACGACTATTCACAAGTGTAAGTTACAGTGTAATGCATTAGCGACGCATTATCAAACTCACGGCACTTTCAGAATTGGCCAGGATGATATTGTTGAAGATGTGCATATTGCTTGATCCAATAGTGCCAAAATTCCATGCAATAGGCTGCAGGAGATGATTGGAATTCAGCCAAGATGCTCTCAAACATGCGTATCAACCCAAGACCTTGTATATCTTCATATCTCTGATGATTCCATTTGTAACGTTTTCAAAGAGCCAACCAGAAGGTCGGTTGGTCTGTTGCATGACATCCCACCACTGAACCATTCGTTTCAGCATAATCGAAGAATTGAAGCATATGGCTCTTACCTGCTGGCCATGTCCATCAACCCAACCCCAGTCAGGATCAGTATTACCGCGGAGCGTGACGTTATCTCCTCCAGTGAACGAGAGCCTGATGAAATTGTGAGCTACAAGACGTTAAACCATGCTAGCCTGTACCATGCACCAGAGTAAATCTGGAAGCCTTCGTATCAGATTTCGCATACGTATAATTCAGTGATTGATCGGCACTCACAGCGGTAGCAACATGCCCTTGCACGGTCTTGATACTCGTCGGATATGTCAAATTCCCGCTAATCACCACCTCGACATTCGTGAAAGGCGGAAACGTGATTGGGGACCATATGTTGTAGGTCGTGTCAGCCTCGAACACAATTGACGCGTCAGACGTGTAGCCAGGGATTGCTGCCATCAGAGCAAGCGTGTCATCTGCATCTTTGGTGTGTGGGACAACGAACGTCGACCATGCGACTGCAATGGCAGCATATGCGAGAGGGCCAGAGAATGAGAGTAGCATTCTCAAGAACACTATCCTACAAGTTAGAGCTGAGCTATGTCTTGGTGGAGAACGAGGAGCGTATTATATGTGCGAGTGTCGGTTATTGTAGCCTTAGGGACGGCAAGTCCTGGGGCCCGGAATAAGGATCATGATATTCCAACTTCCCGCAACCTAGATAGTCACGACTGACAAGACGGCTCCAGGTTTCTTCTGCTGATCATCCGACAACGCGTCAACCATGCTATTAAAGACCTGAAAGGACACCGAGCAAAAGACAGACGCGAGTCCGACATCAGTCCTTGTTGCTAGCTGACCGGACGCAGCGATTCGCCACAAAATTGAATGTGGTCAGTGCGAGAGTTCAAGGCTACATCGAGAAATACCGGTATTTCTCTATTGAAGTTCTCCAGTATCCAGAGGACGTGATTGATTATATGTGCGCGTGAACACAGTACTGCTAAAGGGAGCAAACAAATAAACCGGTCTGTGCCGACGGCAGAACCTCATTAATGTATTCTGTACTAGCACTGCTACAGATTTGGAAAGAAAAAGAACTGAGAATGGGTACAACTAACATCTATAGGCTGAGTTACAGTAACTCACTGGTAGGGCTCATCCCATGTCGTGACAGGGCGCTCGTTCTGCCCGATTTTCGCAGGGAGATCTTCCAATGGCGAAGGGTACTTTTTAGACGACCAAGTGGGGCTCTAGGATTCCGACATTTTTGGGATCGCGAGTGAGTGATGTGATGCTTTAAATTTCAAAACATGCGCCCTCCACATTAGAAGACATTGAACGTTGTAATGCCATTTTTAGCAGATGACCTCCAAGCTTGAAGTGACTTGGTAGGATGTCGATGATTGGGTTGTCTAGCGAGTATAAATCCGGGCGTTGCATGGGTATGGTTGAAATTGAAATCTGAAAGACTACGTCATACCCAAACTATGTTCACGTGATATTAGTCCCTGTGGCGTTGTGTACCGAACTTCGGATCAAATAAACGGTTATCCGCGTTCACATATAAAATGGAGCCTTGCTTGTACTTTGCCTACTACAAGAATTCATTTGCAACTGTCATCGAAAGTTTCAAGCCAGCAAGGTTTGTCTGACATCTTTTGTCAATCGCAAATGATTCTCACCTCCAAGTCTCTCGCAGTGCCAATTTCCAAATCGTCAACAATGAACCAAGTTCATCATATCGCCACAAGACTCTTAGATTTCCCCGTGGAAATCATCCTAGACATCCTCAGCCATTTAGATGTCCACGATCTAGTACGAGCACGTCGAGTAAGTACGAAACTTTCCGAGTCTGTCAGAATTACTAAATCAATCTCTCCAGGTATGCAACGATATTCGACAAGCGATCGACTCTTCCTCGGAGCTGCTGTATTCGATGGACCTCGAATACTTCAATGCAATTCCGGTGCCTTCAATCCCTGGCCCGGACTATTCCATCCCAACACTTCGCAAGTCGCTTCTACAAAGCGAATCCGCGTGGCAGAAAGCCGAATACTCCAAAAGAAATCCCATCGCTATTCCACACCCTCCAAGCATGCACCAATGGTCGTGCGGCGTTTTGGGATTCCCAGTGGAATCTCTACAACAAATCATGTTTTTCCAACCCCAGCTGGCAGATGGTCACTCCAATACCATCAACTTGCGTCAATGGAGCTGCCAATTGGACAGCGCGGCCGCGCTACGACTTGTGCATTACAATTTTTCTGTTGCAGAGGATCTCGTCACTCTCGTTTTCAGAGCACCCTCAGGGTGAGTGCTTCCTTTGAGTCCCATCTCAGACATGCCATATTAACAACGATCATCAAGGGAGAGCCATGCGTATGATGTCATTTTCAGATCGCTCTCAGAAGACAAAGTCCATCGTGGAGCCGCATTCCCTTCTGTGAAAGCACTTGACAACGAGGTCGACTTGGAATTACTCGACCCCTATACTCTGAGATCCTCAATTTTTGGGGACTATTACGGTGTTTTGTTCAGGAACGTCAATAAAGCAAATGGCGAAGTGGCCGACTGTTTGCAAATTTGGAACTGGAAATCGAAGGACACTTTTCAGGTCAGTGAATCTCCTGGTATCGTTTTTATGACTGATGAATCATCCGGACTTGTAGTGTCTCGAAGTTTTTGATCCAGCTTGCAAGACGATGAATTTCAGTTTCTTGACAAACGAAAGAATTCTTGTCGTTAACGCGAGGGAACTATTGTTATATTCACTCGTTCATGCCCCCAATGCCCTCCAGCTCACCGCTAAATTCTCACTCCCTGCCTTGCACAGTCCTTTTGAATACGCATGCATCGGCTTCAGCCCCATTCCATCCCACGCCTGCGCACACAACCAAATGATCGCTCTCAGTATGGACATTTCAGGGGGTTCCCTCACTAAAAATCCCTGCTTTACGTCTTATGTCGAGCGCAACACCCTCTTGAAACTCGAGTCCACCTATGTGAGCTGCTACGGCAAAGCAACTGAAGATTCCCCCGATCTGCCTTGGTCTAGCTGGGGCCCAGATC